CATTCGAACAATGCATTGTCCTGGTAATGTGAATTCTGTTGTATAGGCATTCATCTTTGAGATCAGGCTATGAAGAGAGCATGGAGGACTTGGTTGAGGTTGAAGGACAGAACATGATTTTTCTTTTTGTTGTTGCTGAGACAAGGTCTCACTATACAGTTCAGGCTGGTCTCTAACCTCCCAAGTATTAGACTTACCAGCCTGTGTCACCTCACCTGGCTCAGAGCATTAGTTTCTTTAATTGCCTTAACATTAATAAAAATATAAAATGTAGCTAGCAGCAGTTGGGGGGAAATTTGAGAAAAAATGTATGAGTACTATTAGCCTCCTTGTTCAAAGTGAGGAGTTAGGATTTTGTTCAAAAACTAGGAGAAAAGATAAGGGGTTTATGTGAAAGTAATACAATTATCAAACAGTGGGGAGGAAAGTAAGCCCTTCATATTTCTTACTTTTAAGTTAGTAGACTTTGTTTTAAAGTTAATAAGTTATCAAAGTAAATGCAAAACTAATTCCTTTAAAAATCTAGGCAATGGCAGGGCGCTCGCTGGTGGCTCATGCCTGTAATCCTAGCTACTTAGGAGGCAGAGATCAGGAAGATTCTGGTTCGAAGCCAGCCCTGGGCAAAACAGTTTGAGAGACTCCTATCTAGGTAAAACCCATCACAAAAAAAGGGCTGGCAAGCCAGGCACTGGTGACTTATGCCTGTAATCCTAGCTACTCAGGAGGCAGAGATCAGGAGGATGGCGATTTGAAGCCAGCCTAGGGAAATAGTTCCACGAGACCCTATTCGAAAAACCCTTCACCAAAATAGGGCTGGTGGAATGGCTCAAGGTGAAGGTCCTGAGTTCAAGCCCCACTACTGCAAAAGGGTGGGGGGGGCTGGCAGAACAGTAGAGCACTTGCCTAGCAAGCATGAGGCCCTGAATTCAAACCCTAGTGCCACCAAAAAAAATTTAGGCAATGGATAAAAAGAGACTTGCTTTTCAGTATAAGCTATTCTGCCACTCTTTGTTACCCATGTCTGTGTGTTACTTTAACTTTAAAAACAGAAAGTTTAGAGAACAAGAAGTAACCCAGGCTGAAAAAAGGTCATGGGTAAGGAATGTTGGAAGACAATAACCTGAGAAGTAGGTTGAGACTGTATTGTAGAGGGCCTCAAATGGCAATATGAAGCAGTGTGTTTGGAGGTAAGCTTTTTTTTGGTGGTACTGGGGTTTGAACTCAGTGCCTCACACTTAGCTAGCTAAGTGCTCTACCACACCTAGCTCCACAGCCTGAAGCAGCATGTTTAATTTGGGAAAATTTGGAGGAGTTTTTGAACTGGTTAAATGAGTGGAGATGTATACTTTTAGAAAATTAATTTGTTGAGAAGATGAACTGGAGTAGACACAGGCAGTAAGTGGTATGAGGAACTAGTTTCAGTTTGTACACAAAAGGTAATGAAGGCTTATAGCTGAGTGATACCATTGGAAACAGAAAAAGAATGAAAGGTATTCCCAGTACCGTGCTTGATACATCATTGGTGTTTTTAGTATGTGCTTATTGAATGAAGGGATCAAAGGGAGAGTGCATTTTTTTAGTAACTTAATTGACATGGGAGGAAAAGAAGGGTAGTCATCAAAATTGACAATAGTCACTGTTATTTATTTTGAGATCTATGGCCTGATTGTACCTTGCACTGTGTAAGAGTAGGACTTGATCCTGTATGCCTGATACATTGTACAAAATGTTTATAATTCAGGGGCTGGTCTTCGTTGCTTATGTTTCATCTATTTGTGACAGATGATTGTAGGAGGTATTTACTATGAAATATAAGGTGAAAAATATCGTAACCTGAGAAATCATATCCTACTTACCCAAGAAAGAAAAATTTTAAAACATAAAACATAACAGAGTATAGTTCTCTATGGCCTCATGATTTAAGGGCACAAATGGCTGCTAGATTTCGGTTAAGCTTTTGAACAGTTAGTTTTTTCCCATAGGAAGGAAGCATATGCTAGAATCTAACCCATAAACTTGGCCCCATGAGTCAAGTCTATAATCCATTAGTGCAATGTGATGACACTTTGGGTATAGAACAGAAAGAGGAGAACTTCTTTATATGTATATAATGTATAAAACACTAAGTATACAAACATTAGGTATATGCTAAATTGGGGAGGAGTGCATACTGGACCTTGAACTCAGAGCCTTGCACTTGCTAGGCAGATGTTCTACCACTTGAGCCACAACCCCCAGCCCTTTTTGCTTTATTTATTTTTCATATAGGGTCTCTCACTTTCTACCCATGCTGACCTGGACTGTAATCCTCTTATTTCTGCCTCCTAAGTAGCTGGAATTACAGACATGAAGCCACTGTGCCCACTAGGTTAATTATTATTATTATTTTTACTGTTAAGGATTTGCCATCAAAAGTTCAAGCACCACTGCTCTAATCAACCGAGCTAACTAAACTAAGAGATAAAAGACTAGTTACAAAAACCTGGGGCATGAGTATATAGATTCCTCTCATTGATCTTGATAGGAAACCACCAAGAGTCTCCAATAGCCTTAGAGTGGTATAATGGGCCTTGTTTTAGAAGTCAGAGGAATGGAATTGAGGCCCAAGTCTGCCAAGTTCTGACTTTTGATCTTTAGCCTTCACTTAATCTCTTTAAGGTTCAGGCTGTACTATTCAAATCATTTTGCCTTTAAAGATCTGTCAGATTCATAGTGGTAAATATGCAGAGTACATAAGAATTCTGAAATGTTTTTGCCTGCCCTGGGATCTGCTCCTTCGTTTTACCATCAGCTTTCATAAACATTAGTCTGAGGTCAAAGTTTTGTTGTGAAAAAGCACCTAACACAGGCTTGGTATGATGGAGGTACTTAAGTATTTGCTGGATTTTAATCTAAATCCTTCCTAATTCCACATATACTTTGTTCTTTGAAAGGTTTTTAAAATACTGTTTGGTAATTTACTTCCTGCCTTTCCTACTGGAGATGCTAATAGGTATTACTTAAACCCTTGATCTCATTTAAACAGAAGGGTATAGAAGGGGTTAGCATTTTAGAATCAGATAATGCTTAGTTCTACTTTAATACTTGCTATGCAGGGTTGTTGTGAGAATTAAAGAGGATAATGCATGTGAAATTACAAAATAAAGGAATAAAGGACCAGTATTATGAGATTGTTTTGTTATTGTTGCCTAAGTTCCAAGAAAGTCTGAAATGATTAAGCTGTGTAAGTAGTAGGATAACCTACAAACTATGATCTTTGTCTTAGAAAATAAAATGGTGGATTAATATTCCTTTTTATCCTCTTAAGGAGCTTTTTCCTTTTGCTACTCATTTTCAGATGCTGCCACATTAGACTATCCTGGTATATCTTTTTGAGAAATATTTGTAATTCTTTGTATTGTCAATACTTAGGGCCTCGTGCTTGCTAGGCAGGCTCTCTACCACTCAAGTCATTCCACAAGCCCTGTATTGCCAATATTTTAAGGGTATCTGAGAAAATGTTCATTGAGCTTGAGCATTTGTGTGGAATACTATAGTAATAAAACTAATGAGGATGGGCATGGTGGTACAGATCTGTAATCCCAGCACTCAGGAGGCTGAGGCAGGAGGATCACAAGTCTGAGGACAGCCTGAGCTGCATAGTGAGTTCAAGGACAGCCTGAGCCATATATAGCAAGACCCCATCTCAAAAAAAGAATTATTTATGTTTGTATAACACATTTAGATTTTTCTAATAGTACCTAGAAAAAAATAACATTATAGTCCACAAAGCAGAAATGGTCTTTGGTGTGCATATGTTTCTGATTTTGTTATGTTTTGTTTTATGTGTCATTTGGGGCTATAATATACAGTATTGTCTTGATCAAACCAGATATCCTCAATTTGTTGATCTCAACACAAATAAGTAGTCTAAATCCTATATATATATTTATATATATTTTCTCCTCTTCTGACACCTTCCCTCAGATATACTGAAGTGTTCGCTGTCTTTAAAAATCCTTCCTTAGAAGGAAGACTTTTCACTCTTTCATTATGCAAGGTAGTCATTTTTCCCAGGTCTAATCTCTATCCAAATGCTAACCTTTCTGAATTTGTGATTTAGAGTTGTTTCTTTTCTTTCCTCTCAGATCCCAGGTTATTCTAGAAACAGAAAGTAACTGAGGTATTTCAAACAAAAAACTTGAGTATTTTTTTTTTGTGGTCCTGGAGTTTGAACTCAGGACCTAGCATTTGCTGGGAAAGCACTGTACCACTTTAACCCTGTCCCCAGCCCTTTTTGCTTTAGCTTGTTTTTCAAATAGAGTTACATGCTTTTGCACAAGCCAGTCTCGGTCAGCAGTCCTACTTCTGCCAGCTGGGATTGCATACCCAGCCTTTCTTTTTTTTTTTTTTCGAGATAAGGTCTCACTAACTTTTGCCCGGTCCTCTATCTGTTCCTCACAGTTTTTCATCTTCCATGTAGCTGGGATTACAGATATGATCGATCCACCACAGCTGGCCAAAATTTGCATACTTTCTTAAATAGCTGTATTAGGGCAGAACTCTGCATGTTTACCATAGAATATTTTTCAACCCTTCTTCTCAATAATAAAAAAGGGTTTTGTATATAGCATTTGTTCCATCTAATGTAGCCACATGCCCAGAGGTACAGTATGTCACTGTGGTGTTCTTTTTTTCAGACTTCATCACACCCTCTGTCTCCCCCCTTGAAACTATTCTAATTATCTCCAATACAGAAAATGAAGACATGGAAATGCTTAGCTAATATATAGAAGCTAATATGGTCTACCTAGTGGGCTGGTATAATCTTGTCTGTAATATTTAACTTGAAAGTGTAGTTGTTTGGCATCTGTTTTCTATTCACTTGGGAGGTCAGTAAAGGGTAGTTTTTGTATGTTAATTTGAGGGTTTCTAATATCTTACACCAAATTAAGATTACTTGATTTCTATTGGAAGAAAGTAGCTCTAACTGTTTTCTCCCCTTACATTTACTTCCACAGGAAGAAGGCAGCATCAAAGAAATTGCAATCACACATCATGTAAAGGAAGGACATGAAAAGGCTGATCCTTCCCAGTTTGAACTTTTAAAAGTATTAGGGCAAGGATCATTTGGAAAGGTAAATCATGATTTTTGCTTTTGAAAAAGTTCATAGATGTTTCATAGAAGTAGAAAGTAAGATAGTAGTCACTAAAGGCTAAGAAGGGTAAGGAGGGAAGGATACAAGGAGGTTGAATAATGGGTACCAAATACAATATAGTATAAATAAGATCTAATATAATTGTTTTTGAAGACATTGTCTCACTATGTGACCCAGGGTGGCCCCAAACGCACACTCTTTCTACCTCAGCCTCCAGAGTGCTGGGATTACAGGCATGTACTGCCACACCAAGCTATAAGTATTTAAGGAGAAGGAAATGCTAATTATTGCAATTCCATTGTTAAACGTTGTATATATGTATCTTTTTTCACACTGCACACCATAAAGATGTAGAATTATAATGTATCAATTAAACTAAGAAGAGGTAGGATGTAAGGTTTAGGTTACAAAGGTATAAGGAATGAAAATTTAAAAGATCGTGTAATGAAAAAAATTGATTTTTGGAATTTATGTATATTTCATCACATGGCAAAACAGAAATATTCTATGAGATGCTACCAGTCTCCCTACCAGCAGTGTTTTCTGTGGTTTTTACATTTCTCACTATCACTAAGTGTGGAAAAATGAATTAAGTTATTCAAAAGTACATCGGAAACTGTAGTAAATTGGCAGTATTTACTTCATACTCATTTTATCTTTACACAAGACCTTTACAGTCATGCTTCTTAAATTATTAAAATTCAAAAAATATTTCCTTCATATACTGACATCTTTTTCAGTCTGTGTGGCTTGGAAAGTGATACATTTTAAAACTAAAGGAGGCCAGATGCTGGTGGCTCACACCTGTAATCCTAGACACTCAGGAGGCAGAGATCAGGAGGATTAGTTTGAGACCAGCCCAGGCAAATAGTTCACTAGTCCCTATCTCCAAACTATTGAACACAGGACTGGTGGAATGGTCAGGTTGTAGAGTGCTTGAGGAGCATGCATGAGGCTGAATTCAAACCCTAGTACTGCCAAAAAATAAAAATAAAAACTAATGCAAAGTTTGCATTCTATTCCATAACACCCATGGGTTTTGGTTTTCTTGTTTTAGATGCGTGCGTTCATTTGTTTGTCTTACTGTGTAGCCCAGACTGGCCTGAAACTTGTGATCCTCTTGCTTCAGCCTCCTGAATGCTGGTGTTACAAGTGTGTGCCGCTATACCTAGCTATCTGTGTTTGTCTTTTAATATCAAAAATGTTTCCTAAAGCCACCAAGTAATTGCTCCAGAAGATGAAAAATCTTCATGACTTTTCTTCAAATAGCCCTTGTCCCCATCAGGGGCACTTTTTATACTTCATTTTGAGACATATAACATAATTACTACAACTTGGTCTTTCTAGACCTGTTCTTAGCAAGAGGAAAATTCTGAGATTGCAATTGACTTTATAGTAATTTCTTAGTGCTTCTCCGTAAGGAAACATTTGAAAATGTCATGCTTTGCAAGCTTCAAAAAGCACCAATTTAGTTCTCTTGTGTATTTTAGAGGGACTATTTAGCAATTCTTGGCTAACATAGGTAATTTGTTATACTCATTAACCTATTTAAAACTCAAAGCATGCTTTTAATCCAAATATAGACTAAGTAGCCAACAGAGTATAATGGTTGCAAGTTTAAGCTCTAGGTCAGCCAGACTTGAATTCACTTTTTTTTCTTCTACTTACTGTGTGTTCTTGAACAAGTTACTTAACCCCTTGAAGCCCCATTTTCCTTTTCTAACCAGTGATTAAATATTGAAGTTCCTTCAGGTTTGATCCTAAGCTGCTATCTCCTTATACCCCCTAATAATTGACTTTTTCTGTGCTCTATCTTAATTGTAATGCATATAACAGATCCCATTTAAATTGTTTCTCTAATCTCTGAATTTATTTATGTACAGCTGGTTACTTTTTTCCATTTGTATGTCTCAAAGGTACTTAAAACTTACTTATGCCTAAGACCAAATTCATGATCTTCTCCTACTCCTAAACTTACCCTGTTTCATTTTTCTGTGTCACTATGAATGGCATCCAGTTAAGTAAGCCAAAAACTTGAAAGGCATTCTTAACATTTCTTGAAGCCCCTCTGCATGCACATGCGGGCGCACGCACACACACATGCACACACTCACACGCACACATACACACACTGTGGCTAATTTGGTCTGTCACCAAGTCCTGTTGATTTAGTAAAGATTTCTCAAATCATGCCAATCCTCTCCTCTACTACCATCTCTCCAGAATACGCTACCACAGTCTCTCCCTGGCGTGTTGAAGGAGTCTCCTAACTAGGTCTTCCTAAGTTTATTCTTGCCTCAATGTATTATTTACATGTCAGCCAGCATGAACTAATCTTAAACTGTATCCCCTTAACCCTTCAGTAGCTTCCCTTTGCTTTTACAATAAGGACAAATTCTTAAAATAGCTGAGGGGCCCCTAAATCTCACACCCAGCTACCTTTGAAATATCAGTTTTATGTACTTTTCACTGTCTGTGTTCTGGCCACATTAGCCTGTTTTGGACCTTCAATATACCACATTCCATCCCACTAGAAAGTCTTTCCTCCTCCTGTTCTCTGCCTAAAATATACTGCCCAGCTCCACCCTTTCCTCAGTTGGTTAGCTCCTCTTGTGCCTGTGATCTCAAAGAAGGCTTCCCTGCTATCCTGCCTAGGTCATAGTCCCCTGATACACTCTCTCAACATTATATATTATATATATTATATATTATATTATAATTATATTATATATTATATTATAATTATATTATATATTATATGCCTCAGCTTCATGGCACTTACCACAATTCCCATGAAGAAAATTGCAGTTTTTCATCTGTAACATTATTTATTGTTGCTCCCCCACTAGACTATATATTCCATTAGTGCGGGGGTCATGATAATTCTGAAAAGAATTAATGAGTGAATAATATCCCAACCTCATTGGGTAGTGGTGAGAATTAAATTATATTAAGGCCAAATGCATAACAACTGGCATTAAATTGTATTATTATGCCAGTCGGTAAACCCAAAAAGATTTTTACACATTAGATTTCAGGGAACAGAATATTTAAGTTCCTAGGAATTAGCATGCTTGTCTCTTTATTTCTTTAAAATTAATTTAAATACCTTACTATAAATAGCAAACATTAAAAATAGGGTGTCTCCTTTCTTACTCATCCTTAAAGGCCAATGTAAGCCACGGAAACAGGGATGACCTGTCAGAGCCTAGAATAGCTTCATGGGGGAGTGAGAAAGGTCAGAAATGCTGTGGTGGCGGAAGGTCAGATGGCAGCTGGGACTCCTGCTGTTCCCACTGAGCATTAGTTCCCAAAGTAAGCAATTAAAGAGCACCATGAACAAAAGCCCAGGACTAGATGGTTGACCCAGATCTTGTCCCAATACCTCCATTGTGACACCAGGAAAATTGTTCTAACTTCTCTAAGCCCTAATTTGAGCAGCTATAAAATAGCATTGTTTAGTAGATCTGCCTCCCGAAATTGTCTTGATGCTGTATTACAGATGCTTGTGAAAGTATTGTGTCAGCTAAGAAGTGCTGCAAAGTATTTATGAAGGTGCTTTCAAAGAACTACTGAAGAAAGTTTGAAATCCACAAGAATTTTTCTCATGGAATGGAACAAAGAAGCTTGATTGGGGAATCTTAAAGGATGAATCAATATCAGATAAATCCTAGTTATCTCCACCTGTTAAAGTTTATTTCTCTTCAAAAATATTAATAATCTATGATTACTTTTAATATTTGAACAGAAATCTACCTTAGAACCATCAAATTCAGAATACTTTTCTCTCCCTAGGTTATAGCTCCCCATAACTGGCTGAAAGTAGCTAAAGGGTGAGGCTTGGTAAAGGTGGGGAGGACAAAATAGGAGAGCAATACATGCTGCCTCAACATTTCTGTTTGAGTTTTGGTGCTTTTCACTTGATCTGTCACCTTGGCACCACTTCTTAAAACAAGGGAATTCTTTCTTGCCCTAGAATCAATTCAGTAAATCATACTGTGATTTTATGCTAATAGCCTGTTGTGGTAAGTCAGATAAATGAGAACTGACTCTAAAAATAATTCTTGATTATAATTGAGTCTCTTCCCACCTGTGGCAGCTCAGGTAGGGAAGGTGAGTTGAAATTGAGGTCCATTTAACGGGTCTGTTTAAAGGTTTGATGGAAAAGATTGTGAATGTAATAGCCAAAATGAGTAGAAGGATTTATTGGTAGTTTTATGTTAGCCATGTTATAGTATGACTATGAATTATTTATAGCAGGCTTTTGTGTGTGTGTGTGTGTGTAAGTCCCACACTGTGTTTTGAAAGCAGCCCAAAATATTTGACAAATAAAGATGTTCAATAATAAACCTAGGAATAGTGTTCTTCGTATTTAGGTATATGTGATGATTTGGTTGTAAAAAGGTAGGGAGGTGGAGTCACATTAAATATTTGTGACTTGGGTTTTCCAATATAAGTGGGTTTGTTTTGTTTCAGGTTTTGACATTACTGGAGATTGAGCTCAGGACCTTTTGCTTGCTAGGCAAATGCTCTACCATTTGCGCCACAGCCCTTTTTGCTTTAGGTATTTTTCTTCATAGCATATCACTTATGATTTGGGCAGCCTGGATGGCAATCCCCCTATTTATGCTTCCTTGTAGTTGGGACAAAAGGCACATACCACTGCATCTAGCTTTTTTTTTTTTTTTTTTTTTGCCCCAGGCTGACCTTAAACCATGATCCTCCTGACCTTCACCTCCCATGTAGCTAGGATTACATACTTCAGCCACCACACCTGGCAAGTGTTTTAAATTATTGTGCCCAGCAATGAGACTTATGTGCGGTTCTCATGTACAGAAAAGTCCCTTCATCAGTGAATAATTGTGTCAGCATAAAATTGTCAAGTAGAATCCCAATACGAATTTTGATGTGGAAGGCTGGGGGCATGACTCATGTGGTAGAGCACCTGCCTAGCAAAGTTTCAAGGCCCTGAGTTTGCATCCCAGTACCATAAGAAGAAAATAAGAATTTTGATGTGGGCCAAGGCTATTGCTCAGTGGTAGAGCAGTTGCCTACCTTGAGTGAGGCCTTAGGTTCCATTCCCAGCACAGAAAAAAATGATGGATGCAGTAGAATTTTTGTTATGTTAAAAGCAGAGCTATCACCACCTATGATGTCATTTGAACATGTAGGGCTTTGTTCTAACTACTATACACATAATTTAAAGCCTTTTCTTTCTTACTGTATTATATGCTCCTTGGAAACTGACAACAAAATGAAACAGTATTTGCTTACATTAGCACCCCAAGTTATAACTACTGTGTATAACTACTCTTTCTGATGGAAACATTTTAGATAAAATTGATCTACAGCATATGAGGATATACTGTATATATACATGTAACAATAAACTTCGTTATGACAGGGGTCTTATTTTAACAAAAGAATACAGTTTGTGATGCTTTGTAACATTTATTTTTCTCTTATTTAAATACAGGTTTTCTTAGTTAAAAAAATCTCAGGCTCTGATGCTAGGCAGCTTTACGCCATGAAGGTATTGAAAAAGGCCACGCTGAAAGGTAAGTCTGCTGCTATTGGTAATGGTCACATACTTTAAAAAAGCTGAGAGGTCTCTATAGAGTTTATGTGACTCTGAGGGCACTTACTTACATTCTGAATTGGTTCCTGTTACAGGTTTTTAATTTAGGCTGATTTTTAGGGAATTTTTCCTACTGCATCAAGAATCATATGACTAGTGAGATCAATAATTGCCACATTACCAAGAAGTACAAATCCATCTTGGACTTTAGGCAAGTAGAAGTTGAGAAGATTAAAGCTGGATTTGATTAATGTCAAATCTACATTAATTTCAAACCAAAATTTAAACTAATTTAAAGTCAAATTGATTTTGAATTAATATAATTATTTTAGCGTTTTGAAATTTTTACTGATGCAAGGTAGCTTTTATCCTAAAGGATTTTATTATGAGTCTGCAATTTTGAAAACTCTAATACACAATTTGGCTCTTATAGGCAAAAAGTCATTTAGAAGATATTATACATAAGTTTTAAAATACTTAAATTTTCCTTTTATTTAGTAGTATTGATTGTTTTGCCACATAATCCCTAGATGTTTTATATATTGATTCCTAGTATCATTTTTAATCTTTAATTTTCATGTTGTTTATAAAGCTTTAAAATATTCATAAAGGAATATTTGTAAGAATTATTTACTCAGGGCCTCACACTTGCTAGGCAGGCACTCTACCAGTTGAGCCTCTCCACCAGCCCTTTTTGTGTTGGATATTTTTGAGATAGGGTCTTACTTTCATTTTGCCCAGGCTGGCTCTGAACCGTGATCCTCCTGATCTCTGACTCCTGAGTAGCTAGGATTACAGGCATGAGCCACCAGCACCTGGTAAAAAGGAGGTATTTTTAGATTGTGAATCAATCCAGTACTTGTAATTTTACAAGCCATTAAATCTATGAACCTATGAGTTAATCCAATGAATTGCTGAGGAAGAAGGAAAAGCTCTTCCTTACAGCAGAATTCCAACAAATAAACGTGAAAAGAATAATGGAGTTAGTTGATAAGAAATACCATTACAACCTCCATGTAAAGGACTTCAGTGTAAAGTTTACACAAGGAGGCAGACAAAATAATCTTTAAGAAATGTTTGATTTTGCTGAAAATCAAATGTGTATTACAATAATGAGTTATCACTTCATATGGTGGCAGCATAAATTAGCAGTTTTGCAATAAGCACAAAAAGCCATTTTTTTTCTTTTATTATTCATATGTGCATACAAGGCTTGGGTCAATTTCTCCCCCCTGCCCCCACCCCCTCCCTTACCACCCACTCCACCCCCTCCCTCTCCCCCCCACCCCCTCAATACCCAGCAGAAACTATTTTGCCCTTATTTCTAATTTTGTTGTAGAGAGAGTATAAGCAATAATAGGAAGGAACAAGGGTTTTTTCTGGTTGAGATAAGGATAGCTATACAGGGAGTTGACTCACATTGATTTCCTTCTAGGTTAATTCTTTTTGATCTAACCTTTTCTCTAGTTCCTGTTCCCCTTTTCCTATTGGCCTCAGTTGCTTTTAAGGTATCTGACAAAAAGCCATTATTAATGCTACTAATTTTAAGCCTGAGGAAACAACCTCAAAAAAAATTCATATGATTGAAAATTCTCATTGCAACATTATTTACAATAGTAAAAATGTACAGATCACATATACGCTTTAAAAATCGAAGAATGTTTAGAAAATTATGGTGTGCCACTTAATAGGATATTATTAAATGAAGTATTTTAAATATAATTTTAAAATTACCTCAATGAAAATATGTAGCTGAAAAATTAAATTTGGCTACTACAAGTAGGTAAAATTATAAATATAAGCTCTGAAAATATGAATGGGAAGATAAACTATAAAACATATATTTGACTTACTGAAATTGTAGGCTATTGGATAATTTTGAATGTGGGTGTTTTGAGACAAGGTCTTGATATATAGTGCAGGCTGGCCTCTTAACTTGCTGCAATCCTCCCTAGCGCTGGGATCACAGGCATGTGACAACACACCCAGCTATGAGTGTGTTCTTAAATGCAGTTTTTATTTTTAGCAAAGTAACATTTGTACAGAGCCTTATCATGTAAGACATCAGTGCTTTACCCACCTTTCTGCCTATCCTAGTCTGGACCCCACAGAGACAATGACTTTCATGTGTTTAAATGTTGCTTCTGCAGTTTACCTTCATATTCCACACTCCTGTATTGCAGTTCTTTGATGGTTTTCATTTGGAGACAGTCTGCTGACTTCCTAACACAGAAGGTTGGGATTTAGTTCTTTCATACTGCCACTCACCCGCAGTTTCCCTTTTCACATTTTCTCCATAATGTTTTCATTATTATTGCTTAATAAAAATTGTTCCTAGCTGAACAAAATAGTATACTGGAGCCACATTTCCTTCATATCTTTGCTATATTCTCTTTTCCTGAGTTCTTTACCCTTTTTTCAGTTTACTTTTTAGTTTTAGTCAAAGACATCTTTTAGTAGCTACCTCAAAAAAGGGCAAATACATGGGTCAAATTTTTGTGGCCTCGCATGTCTGAAAATGTCTTTATTCTACCTCCTCACCTAATTTGTAGTTTGGCCAGGCTTATAATGCTAGATCACAAATAATTTTCCCTCATATATTTGAAGACATTGTTTCCATTGTCTTCTAGTTTACTTTGGTGCAATGAAGTTTATTGGCCATTCTGTTTACCAGTCCTTTGTCTGTACATGGATTTTCTACCTTGGAAGTCTTTAGAATCTATTATTTATCTCTGGTGTCCTGAAATTTATATGCTAGGATTCTTTAGTATGCATTGTAAAAGTTCATCACACCAAATATGGGGAGCTCTCTTTTAATATAGAAACTCATTTCTTCAGTTTTGTGAAGATTTTTGTCATTCTCCATTCTGTGCCTGCTACTCTTTATATATGTTGTACCTCCTGCATTATTCCTTAATTCTTTTTAGTTTGTTCCTCTTCTATTTTTCCATATTTGTGTTTCTTTTCTATTTTCCAGGAAATTTCATCAACTTTCTTTTTTTTAATTTTTTTATTGTTTTATTATTCATATGTGCATACAAGGCTTGGGTCATTTCTCCCCCCTGCCCCCACCCCCTCCCTTTCCACCCACCCTGCCCCCTCCCTCTCCCCACCACCCCCTCGATACCCGGCAGAAACTATTTTGCCCTTATCTCTAATTTTGTTGAAGAGAGAGTATAAGCAAATAATAGGAAGGAACAAGGTTTTTGCTAGTTGAGATAAGGATAGCTATACAGGGAGTTGACTCACATTACTTTCCTGTGCATGTGTGTTACCTTCTAGGTTAATTCTTTTTGATCAACCTTTTCTCTAGTTCCTGGTCCCCTTCTCCTATTGGCCTCAGTTGCTTTTAAGGTATCTGCTTTAGTTTCTCTGCGTTGAGGGCATCAAATGCTAGCTAATTTTTTAGGTGTCTTACCTATCCTCACACCTCCCTTGTGTGCTCACGCTTTTATCATGTGCTCAAAGTCCAATCCCCTTGTTCATCAACTATCTTTCAACTCTTCTATTGAGCTTTTTTTTCTCCTTTTTTTGGGGGTGGGTGGGGGGCACAGTTTTAGGACTGGGTTTTGAACTCAGGGTTCTGTGCTTGCATAGCAGACACTCTACCACTTGAGCCATACCTCCAGTCCTATTTCTATCATTTTTAATTTCCTCGATTTTCCTTGCTCTCTGATTATTCTATTTTTTACAGCTTTTCATTATGAAACTGTCAATAATAACAAAATATAGTGAACCCTCATATGCCCTTATCTCTGATTCCACATTTGTCAACTCATGGTTGATCTTTTTCATGTATGTTCTCCCCTTCTCTTGATATTTTGAATCAAATTCCAGACATTGTATAATTTCTTCTATAAATATTTTAGCATATATCTCTAAAAGATAATACCCCCTTAAAGAAATGATACAGCTCTGTTATTATACCTAATAAATTAACATATCTAATGTCAATTTTCTAGTTGTTCCTACTCGTATAATTCATTTTATTTTAAGCAATTTGTTATAATCAGGATCCATTCATATAAGGTCTAAACTTTGCAATCGATTGATATCTCTAAGGTTTTTCACCTGTGAGCTCTGCCTCCATTTCTTATTTTTTCCTTGTAGTTTATTTGTTGAAAATACTTGTTTCTTCTCCCTTCCATTCCCTTTTAAAGATTTTCTTTTGGAGCATATGGGACTTGAACTCAGGACTTCATACTTGCTAGGCAGGCGCTGTACTGCTTGAGCCATGCTTCCAGCCTTTTTGCTCTGGTTATTTTGAAGATAGGGACTCTTTTTTTTGTGTGTGCAGGCCATCCTGGACCAGAATTACCCTGTTTTATGCCTTTTTCTCTTGTTTCATGGATGTCAAATCATCCTCACTAGTTTTGAACTGTTGTTTATTGTCTCTGTTTCCTTTTAGTTTTTTCCATTTCTTTTGTTGTTTCATGTTTATAGCCTTCCCTCTAATGCTTGGGGATCCTTTGCTAGCTTTTCCTTGCTTAAGAGTGATGTACTGCCAGGTGCCTGTGGCTCACTTGTGTAATCCTGGCTACTCAGGAGACAGAGATCAGAAGGGTCTCAGTTCGAAGCCAGCCTGGGCAAATAGTTCTCAAGATCCTATCGAAAAAAAAAAATTTACAAAAAAGGGCTGGTGGAGTGACTCAAGGTGTACACCCTGAACTCAAGCCTCAGTACCGCAAAAAAAAAAATTGTCTCTGTTTCCTTTTAGTTTTTTCCATTTCTTTTGTTGTTTCATGTTTATAGCCTTCCCTCTAATGCTTGGGATCCTTTGCTAGCTTTTCCTTGCTTAAGAGTGATGTACTGCAAGTGCTTGTGGCTCACTTGTGTAATCCTGGCTACTCAGGAGACAGAGATCAGAAGGGTCTCAGTTCGAACCGCCTGGGCAAATAGTTCTCAAGATCTATCGAAAAAAAAAAATTTACAAAAAAGGGCTGGTGGAGTGACTCAAGGTGTACACCCTGAACTCAAGCCTCAGTACCGCAAAAAAAAAAAAAAAAAAAAAAAAAAAAAAGTGATACACTAAAAGCTGATTGGAAAGGGTACCAGGCTTAAAATCTAAACCTATCCTTCCTTTCTCTAATCTGCTGTGCTAATTAGCATTTACCCATCTTCTGCTATTGTTTTCTCTTCTGTTCTTTGTCCTTCTTGTGAGTTTATGCATATAGTAATCCCCCCTTATCCAGATTTGCTTTTCACAGTTTAGTCATTTATAGTCAGTAATTCCCTGAAAATACTAAATAGAAAATTCCAGAAATAAACAATTGTAAAGTTTTAAATTGCGCATCATTCTAGGTAGTATCATGAAATCTTACTTTATCCCACCTAGACATGAACCATCTCTTTGTCCAACATACCCATATACAGTACCCACTGCCCATTAGTCAGTTGTAGCCACCTTGGATAATAGATGGTTACTGCAGCAATTGTGTTCACGCAACCATTATTTTACTTAATAATGACTCCAAAGCACAAAATTAATAGTTCTATTAATTCAGACATGTCAAACAGAAGTCATAAAGTGCTTCCTTTAAGTAAAAGAAGGTATTGAGAGAAAGACCCTGAGAACATGTTCACATAACTTTGATCACAGCATATTGTTATAATTGTTCTATTTTAATATTTTTGTTAATCACTTTGCCTAATTTATAAATTAAACTTTGTGATAGGTATGTAAGTATAGAAAGAACCATGGTAAATATAGGGTTTGGTATTATTCATGGTTTCAGGCATCTAGCGGGTTCTTAGAACATATCCCTTGGAGATAAAATGGTACTGCTATAATTTTTTCCTGTTAATGTCTTTTCAATGAGATTTTAAAAGAAGAAAGAGTAAGATGTCCATGTTTACCCAGAAGTATTTTTTAATTTTAAAGTTCCTATTACTGTGTAAGTGGGGTCAAATAGAAGTCAATGGCATTTAGTCAAGTTAGTGGGTAATTTTGTCCTATTAAACTGGTCTGTCAGCCTAAAAAAAATTTGTAAACCATTTGCTTAAAACAGCTGGAAACATAAACAGCCTATCAAGTCAAGGAGGGCTTAAATCTAATAACTATGTCAAAGGAATCTAGTTGTGTTGCCAGCTTGAATAAGCATTAACAAATTCCATTTCAGTGTTTAGAAGTTGACTGCTAAAACATGCCTTCTGGGGACTATTTGGGAAGGGGAAGGGGACCAGCAGGAGGGGGGAGGGAGACAAGAGAGAGTAATAGAGCATGAATTCATTAACATACTTTTGTATACATGTGTGGAAATGTCATAACACATTATTTTGTACAATTAATATACACTAAGAAAAAATATAACATGCCTTCTTCTGAGCTAGTGTATATTAATCAAAATTCCTGATTGTAGGATGATTCATATTTATTACTAACTAGGTTTTTACATAAGAAAAAAGAAACTTGATTAGAGTTATTATATAGTCCTATTTCACACAAAATAAAGGAATTCTTTAATGAGCACTCATTGATTTCAGCTAAACATTTCTTATCCAAGTTACTTTTAAGGAAATATGGTGATGAATTTCTTTCATCTGCTAGATATAATAAGGAAGACACCAAAGTTGTGATAGGGCAAAATAATAAAATAAAATAGTAATACTGAATTTGCTATACTAGCTGGAAAATTCAATCAGACATCAGCAATTGATTTGTATTCCTGACTTCCCTATTTTCAGTGAATTGGCACCAAAATCTCCTAGTTGGGGATAAGAATCTGGTAGAGTAGGGAACATAGTATACTTTTTCAGCTTGTTTATTTTCCCCAGAGGCCTTATTTCTATATTGAAGATAAAACCAACTCATCTGTTCTTTTTCCCCACTCCCCCCAAAAATTCTTTCTCTTTCTGTCCTCACCACTAACACAACCAGAGTATTTTTTCAGAATGTTTTCTAATAATTGTCTCATTCCCACTAGATTATGAACCTCTTGAATATTATTTGTATTTGTATTGATAGTGCCTAGCAGGTAGACTCTGCTGGTAGAGAACTTTGCCCACAAGGTCAAACATAAATTCATCCAGGCATTCCAACTTGTCAAGAATCTGGATCCTCCATACTTCACCTCTCCAGTAGTAAACCTCAGTTTCCACCTGATTTGGCTCCTTCCTGTTCATTACTTATGCTTCTTTACTTGTCTTTACTTGTGTTTATTCTCCATACGTTGGTATCTTCTAGGCCCTCTCTTTCCGATCCTAAATTCTACTGGAAAATTCACACAGCTTGGACCCTAACTTTGCCTCTTTACATTAGCCTTCCTATGCAGGTAAAACCAGCCTTGACCTTCTCTGAATTCCGGCACTATTCATTGCTGGTAATAAGTTGCTTTACCCCTTAATCATATTCATAGTAGTACTTTTGGATATAATAATGACAGCTAATGTTTAGTTGAATATTTCCATACCAGGCTCTAGTTACACCCTTATGTCAACTCTTCAAAGATATAATGGTATTACCCTCATCTTATAACTGAGGTTCAGAGTTTAAATAAGTAACTTACTTAAAATTGCACAGAGCTGAATCCAAATCTTTCTGTCTAGCTCCAAAAATCTTTGCTCTTTCAGCTGTACTGCAGTGTTTCTTTTCTCCCCCTCCTTCTCTCAAAATAGACCTTTTGGGAATATATCCATCCTTCACTGTGCTGCCACATTTTAATGTATGTATGTTGAATTGAGGTGATAGTAGAACTATTGAAACCTATTCCAGTTTTTGTGTTTTAATATTTCATTGTGATACCTTGTTTTTTATGGTATTTTTGCCATTTTCCACAACTTTGTTTAAAGTATTTGTAAATTTGACACTAAAGCCAATACCTAATTTGTTTTCTGTATTTAATTTTTACTTTAAGCACAGATTTTATAAATAGGCACAATTTCTTTTGATTATATGATACAGTAAAATGTTATAAATTTTGTGAATTTAAGAGTAATAAAATTAATGTTTTTATAATACATAAGCAAAATTTTATTTAAAGAAGGCACTAAAAATAATTTTTAACATTATCTTTGAGAGATAATTGCAATGTAGCATATGTGCAATCTTTTATAGTTCGAGACCGTGTCCGGACAAAAATGGAACGTGATATCTTGGTAGAAGTTAATCATCCTTTTATTGTAAAATTGCATTATGGTAAGTTTTAAACCATTTCCCACCTTATCCCCTTACCTCGATCCTCCATCACCTGAATATATTCACCTGTATTAATGTATATGAACACATTTTTATATATTTGTATGTGTTTATAGGTACATATAGTAAAGTCAAGGAAATTAAAGTTACTTCCTAAATGTTAGAAGCTTTTGTTTTGTTTAAATGTTATAAAGTTAGTTTCTGAGTAGTAGCCATGAAAATAGGTTAATTTTTGCTTTTATTATAGTAACGTACAAGCACTTTAGAGTCCATATGTGTTAGTCCAACCTGAAGTCAAAAAGATTCCTAAAACTTTTACCACTTCAGAGCCATGTGCTTTTTCTCAGTGGGTAAAGACATAATGATTCTTACTACGTATAATTAAATGTAACCAACCCACCCACATGGCATGGTTTTTTGTATTTTATCTCATGGTTAAATATGGCTTTTTCTGTTGCGGGTTTTTCTTAAAACATATTAGAACTACCGTTTTCCTAAAAGATCCTTGCCCATATAAAATCCACTGCTTCTATAATAAGAAACACTGCATTTGACATTTCCACATGGAAACTAAGAGAAATCAGTGTTTTCTTCTAAGTTAAAATAACTTCTAGCTGGGCACTGGTGCCTCACGCCTGTAATCCCAGCTACTTGGGAGACTGAGATCAGGACGATCGAGGTTTGAGGTCAGTCCAGGCAAATAGTTCACGAGACCCCCATCTCTAAAACAACCAGAGTAAACATGAGCTGGAGGTATGGCTCAAGTGGTAGAACACCTGTTTTGCAAGTGCAAAGCCTGAGTTCAAACCCCAGTCCCACCAAAAAAAAAAAATAACTGAATAAGTTTAGATCATGGTATAATTGTTAATTTTCTAAAAGTAGTATTCATTTGTGAATGAAATAAACTAATCTAAACCTAAAAAATAAACTATAGTGGATTAAATAGGAATTTTCATTTCTTCATTCAGCTTTTCAAACTGAAGGGAAGTTGTATCTTATTTTGGATTTTCTCAGGGGAGGAGATTTGTTTACACGCTTATCCAAAGAGGTATGTAACTAATGTCTATTTTTAATCTATTTATACTTATCTTGTTAAACTAAAGCTTTGTTATATTTTAAAATTATGCTTATCATACTTTATCTAATGGCACAAGATTCTTAACATTGAAAAACTGAGCCAACGTTTTCTTTTTCTGCCTTTTGAATTTACAGTGAAAGCAGAGAGCTGGCTGATGGAGTGACTCACATGCTAGAGTACCTACCTAGCAAGTGTGAGGCCCTGAGTCCAAACTTTAGTGCCACCAAAAAGAAAAAAAAAAATACCAAAAAACTGAAAGCAGGACTTTCAATTGACAAAGTATCTTTGTCTTAAGATAACTTTGTTTTTTTATAGTTTTATAAGTTTTTATAGTTTCTTTTCAGAGGCAATAATAAATTAAAAAGGTATCCTTAATCAATTATTAGTGGCAATTTAGCATGTTTTTTAAAAGATCACTTTTCATTTCTAAAATGGTGCTGTGGTAGAACAAAAATGGTACAACCTGAATATAGTTATTACTTAAAATATATGTGATTGTGCTTGACTGATTAGATTATTTTGCAAATTTCTTTCATGAGTAAGTTGTGAATAAAGCTAATTAGCAGACTTAAAATTCTTTAAATATTTAAAGTCTTAAGTGAGACCTAAAAATCGTATATACAATAAGAAAATAAATACAGAAAACTTTTTTTTTTCTTTTAGGTGATGTTCACAGAAGAAGATGTCAAATTCTACTTGGCTGAACTTGCACTTGCTTTAGACCATCTACATAGCCTGGGAATAATCTATAGAGACTTAAAACCAGAAAAGTAAGGAATAATGCTACTAAGTTAAATATGATATAATTATTAAGGTGGTCATAAAAAATAAAGTGACCTTATAGAACTCCCAAGCATTACATTAGAGTACTTGTGCTTCACATCTCTGCTAATACTGTATATTACTTTTTATTTTTTAATTTTTTTTTGGGGGTATGGGGCAGCCCTAGGATTTTAAGTCAGGGCCTCATGCTTGCTAGGCAGGCACTCTTACCGCCTGAGTTGCTCTACCAGTGCTTTTTTGTGATGGTTTTTTTTTGAGATAGGGTCTTGTGTACTCTTTGCCCAGGACTGGCTTTGAACCTGGATCTTCCTGTTCTCTCTCTGCCTCCTGAGTAGCTAGGATTGCAGGTGTGAGCCATGGACACCCAACCTGTGTATACTTTTTAAATCTTGGTTAATCAATATTGTCTTGTTCTTCTTTGCATTCTTTAATTTTTTTAGCATTGTAAGAACTTTATTTTATTTTTTAATCGTTTTTACATTTACTTACATATGTATACATTGTTTGTGACACCTCCACCCAACCCCCCCACCCCCACTTCCAGGCAGAACCTGTTGCATTGTTTTATTTTTTAATAAGGGTTGAAGTCTGTTTGTTAATTGATAATTTGTTTTTTTTGTGTGAGTATTCTGTTCATGGACTTTGTTCATTTTTCTTTTAGAATGTCATTTTTCCCATTGATTTATAGGAGAACTTTACAAATTAAGAATTTTTACCCTTTATCCAGGTGCAATTTCATGTGCCAATGCTCCTATCTACTTGAGAGGCCAAGGCAAGATGATCACTTAAGCTCAAGTTCAAGACCAACCTTGGCAATATAGCAAGACCCTCTCTCAAAAAGAAAAAGAGAGGGCTGATAGAATGGCTCAAACAGTAAGAGCACCTGCATAGCAAGCATGGGGCCCTGAGTTCAAACCCCAGTGCAGCCAAAAAAAAAAAAAGAATCTTAACCACTAGACATGTTACAAATATGTTTTTTGACCCTATCTTTTAATTTAAATTTTATTTATGTTTTTTGGGGCAGTCGTTGATACTGTGGTTTGAACTCAGGGTCTTGTACTTGCTATGCAGGTGCTCTACCACTTAAGCCATGCCTCTAACCCCTATTTCTGTTATTTTAATGTACACACATTTTTCTCAGATCAACCAATCTTTTATGAAATCTTGACTTACTCCTTTTTTTTGGACTAGGTTTGAACTTAGGACTTCCTGCTTGCAAAGCAGGTACTCTACTCCTTGAGCCACACCTCAAGTCCATTTCGCTCTGGTTATTTTGGACATAGGGTCTCGAGAACTATTTGCCTGAGGTTGGTCTCAAACCACAATCCTTCTGATCTCAGCCTCCCACATAGCTAGGATTACAGGTTTAGTAAACAACCAGTGCCCAGCCCTATTCTTAGAAAAGATTTTCCCCAATCCCATTAACAGCTATTTTTCCTAAAATTTTATAGTTTCTTTCTTTACTTAGAACTCTATCTAGAAATTTTTTCTTTATGAGGAATAGTATAGAGCTAACCTTTTCTCCCAAACACCATTTCTTGAAAGTTTTGTTCTTATAATTTCACATTTCAAATGTGAGTTGACCACATTTTTCATAGCTCTTACAGTAGCAATCATCAACAAGCTGATATTACTTAAATAATGCATAGTTTTGTGTTTTAATTTGTCCATGTTTACCATCTACCACTGTGTAAGGAAGGGTTTTTGTTTTTTCCAAGGGTATAAGCAAAAATCTTATTCTATCAAGAATATTTTGGGACAGTTTTATTGAGTTATAATTCACATACCATAGTTTAAATCTATTCATTTAAACTATACAGTTCAGCCAGGCACAGTGGTACACACCTGTAGCCCCAGCATCCAGGATGCTGAAGCAGGAGAATCACTTGAACCCTAGAATTTGAAAGTAGCCTGGGTAGCATAGCACGACCCTGTCTCAAAAAAAAAAAAAAAAAGTATACGATTCATTGGTTTTTAATTTGTTAACAGAATTGTGCAACCATTATCTTTATCAAGTATATTGAGTGTTAAGTTACTTTAAAATGGTATGTGCAAGGACTGAGGATATAAGTCAGTGATAGAGTGCTTACACCCAGCATGTACAAAGCTTTGGATTCAGTCTTCAGCACCACATAACGAAACAAGAGTTATGTGCAAAATGTAAATGTTTATGTTGTGACAGAAAATAGAGGAAATCCTCCTTTAGAACCCTTTTAAGTGATCATTTAGAAATTATTATGTTTTTATATTTTACTTTTTTCATATCATTTGGTTTTGAGCCATATGAAATCATATGGTTCTATTTCTAAAATAAATTACTGAGTTTTGTCATTTTCCCAACTTCTAACTACTGTAACACAAAATATAGTTACTTAGGAATAAATATTCAAGTGTATAGTCTATCAACATAAGATTATACAGTCATAGAAGTTAGTGTTTTTTACTATTCAGTTGGATATATTTATTATAGACCATTATATTAGCATTGGTCTTATAATTACATAGGCCCTGTTTCAAGGTTTGAATAAGATCAAATGTACATAAAATTGCTTATAGTGAGATCTTTCACATAGGTGTCTAGATGTTGCAACTGAATTGAAATAACACTTAATTGCTAAGGTTTCCAAGTAAAATAACATCATAAAGAACTTGTGAGAAATTCAGATTTTTGAACCAAATGTTTTATGAGCTGATGGAGGCTGTCTAGATTGTTTTAAACTAGAACTCTATTATAATAATATGTTTAAAATAATTAGGACTGGACATGTGGTACAAGCAGTAGAAACCAAAGCTTTGTGAGACCACAAAGCCCTGAGTCAAAGCCCCATATTTTCTTTTTTGTTTTACTAAGATGACTGGAGGTTTGAGATTTGTTTTTAGAACTGTCTTTCTTATATATTAGAAGCCAGGATGATTTCCACCACCCCGTTATTGTTTTATTCCCTAAATGTGTTAGTGGTCTGCTTCATAATCAAGATTAACTTTTTCATAACAAGTATCTTGTTATGAAAGAGACTTGAAAAATATGTCCCCCACTAAGTTACTCGCAGTGGTGAAGGTTGTTTGAATTGATATATAAGAAGGTTGGTGATATTTTGTCATAGTAAAATTTTAATGCATAATTAACTTGCATGCTTTCAGTTAGAATTAAGAGTAAAGTAATGCCTATATTGTGGGATAGCTTTAAATATAAGCGAAACTACTTATTACTTGACCTTTCTAGTCAGCATACTAAAATGCCTATCCAGAAATAGTTAGGGGCTTATAGCTTGGTATGTAGTTCTTTCTGTAGCCCCATACCTAATGGTATTACTCTCCACTGAAGTACCTTCTCAAGCCAGAAACCTAAGTGTCATTTTCCAATTCTTCTTTGTTTTTACCCAAAGAGCTCATCAAATGCCCTTCATTTTCTCTGAATTTTTTCCCCAAATCATGGTCTTGTTATCTCCACTATCTCTACTCTCTGTGGTGTATACCTTTTATGTTTTCCATTGTCCTTGTGAAGAAGCACAAACTATTTGAAATGCCTTGTAGGCCTTTTGTAGACTTGTCTCATCATTCAAGTAACGTTTCTTATTTGTCTTTGCTCGGCAGACAGTGAGCAACAAAAATGAATAAGGTCAAAACCTCTAGGGGCTCCCAGAAAAAGCACTCGAGAATGTGTACAGTGAAGGGATAGGTCAGTGAAAAACAAGGAAATGTACAGAAAGTAGTGGGTTCAAAAGAGGATTGTGTAGGTTGTGTCAGGAAAAAAAAACTAACTCAAAGAATGTTTGAGTTAGATACCTTAAAATTACCAAAAAGATGACTTTTAACTAAAATATGTAGACCCTCTGTCTATTATGCAAGCACTGGGAGATTTAGTCAGGCCAAACTGGAACAGAGTAACTTGGAAAAATATAGCTTGCTTGTTTACTGCTTTTTTTGGCAGTGGGGGAGACTTGGATTTGCATTCAGGGCTTCCCACTTGCAAAGCAGGCACTCTACTGCTTGAGCCATACCTCCGGCCTGTTTTGGTCTGGTTATTTTGGAGATGGAGTCTCAAGAACTATTTGCCTGGGCTAGCCGCAAATTGTGATCCTCCTGCTCTCAGCCTCCCAAGTGGCTAAGATAACAGACATGAGCCACTGGTGCCCAGGTGCTTGTTTGATTCTTTTCCTAATAATTTTCAGTTTTCTTTAGGTCTTCTGTACAAGTTGATGGCTTTGCCTTTGGGATCTTTTATAAATTTTATTAAAATATAATTTTTCCTCTTTACCTTTACCTTCTTATTCACAGTCTAAAGAAACACTTTAGAATAAATGTATCATTCTGATGCTTAAGAAAGTAATTTTAGGAGGCCAGCCATAGTGGTGCACGACTGTAATCCCAGCCACTCAGGAGACAGAGATTGGGAGTATAATGTTTCAAGGCCAGTCAGGGCAGAAAATTAACAAGACTCCCATCTTTATAAACAAGCTGGGCATGGTGGACTGTCTCTGTAATCCCAGCTATGCAGGAGACATAGGTACAAGGATCGCTGTCCAAGGCTAACTCTGGTCAAAAACACAAGACCATATTTGAAAAATAGCTCTGGGGACATGATTCAAGTGGTAGAGTGCCTGCCTAGCAAGCACTGAGGCCCTGAGTTCAAAATCCAGTACCGCCAAAAACAAAGCAAAACAAAAAACAGCTAAAACCAAAAGGGACTAGGATGTGGCTCAAGTGGGAAGTCCTGAGTTCAAACTCCAGTTACCTCCCCCCACCACAAAGTAATTTCAGTTGTATCTTTTGTAAATCTCTATTTAGTGGTTTAAAAGATTTTCTGACTTTACTTTCTTTCAGCATACTTCTTGATGAAGAAGGTCATATCAAGTTGACAGGTAAAAATCTTCATTTTCTTAAAATATTCTCTCCTCTGTAGATTTCCTTTAAGGTTGATTATGCTGCAAATAATGAGTAACACGTTATGTTAAAATTTGGGTTAGAATTTCTAATGTAAAATTGGAATTCAAAGTTTACAATTTGTGCAAATTATTATGGGATATTTAGGAAATCCATACTTATTTTGGCAGATTTTGGCCTGAGTAAAGAGTCTATTGACCATGAAAAGAAGGCATATTCTTTTTGTGGAACTGTGGAATATATGGCTCCAGAAGTAGTTAATCGTAGAGGACATACTCAGAGTGCTGACTGGTGGTCTTTTGGTGTGTTAATGGTAAGGTTTGGATTTTTGTTTTTATAGGGGGGTAGGAGTTGTTATTTTGCTTATTAAATGAGAATTAGAAACTAGTGTTTTTTATCGTCTGTATTTCATAATATACGTAATAAATAGGCAAGAAAAATGATTGCCTCCAGTATGGCAGGACTGTGGAACCCATTAGTTGCTTCCATCTCATCCTAATTTTAAAAGGCAGAAATTTATTTCCTTAGATTTCATGTTAATACTAACAATCTAAAGCATTAATGACTTTTTTTCTTTGTGAAAACCTGGTCCACAAATCTATTATTAAGTGGCCCTTTAAAAAAAAAGGTTCACTTAGAGCTGGAGGCATGGCTCAAATGGTAGAGCCTAGCAAACACAATCCCCAGTACTGCCAAAAAAAAGAAAGAAAAGAAAAATAAATAAAATTAATGTTATTAATTTCTGCAGAATTATTATATAACTCAATTATTTTTATAAGAATTGAGGGATAACTTTTTATAGGTAGCAGCTTTAGAAGATCTGGTTGTAATTAAGATGATGCTTATTTTTACCTTCTGGCCTTGAGATTTTCTACTTACTAGCTAATACCTATGGTTATTTTACCTTTCTGTAGTTTGAAATGCTCACTGGTACACTACCTTTCCAAGGAAAAGATCGAAAAGAAACAATGACTATGATTCTTAAGTAAGTACTTCCCAATGAAGATGCCTTGGTAAAATTTTAAAATAAATACTTCAAACTAATAAATGAGGTTTTAGAGTACCAGATAAAAGAAATATCTGAGAAATTCATCAATATTACATGGTTTAACTATAAATAAATTACACAGATTTAGAATGCTCATATCATCTTCATATGATTGGTACAAGATCAAAAGCTATAACTTTGAGATTTGAGATATGACAAGTATGCCAATTATTCCACTTCTGTCTGCATTGGTAAATCAACCAAACAAAGTTAGGTATACAGCTTAAAAAAGAAGAAATAAAGTAGCCATTTCTTAGATAAAATGTGTCAATAGTAAATATAGTCTGCATATAAATTCTTAGAGTTAAGACATCAGGAAAGTTGCTGGTCACAAGGTCAATAAATACAGATCTGTTTCATGTAAATCTATTTCGTACTGTATACTAACAACAGAAAGTGAAAATTTGAAAAGTGAATACTGTTCACAATAATATAAAAATTATCAAATTCCTAGGGATAAATCTAGCAAAAGTTATGCAAGACCTTTATGCGGAAAACTAGAAATTTTATTTAAAGAAAAATTTTAAAAGCTAAAATAACTTGAAAGGATAAACAATTTCCACATTATGACCGACCCACTGTTGTAAAGATATGGTTCTATAAACCAGCGTTATCCAATAGAATATAATGTGAGCCATATACATAATTTTATGTTTTCTAGTATGTACATTTGAAAAAGCAAAAAGAAATAATTAGTTACAATAATACATTTTATTTAAGTCAGTGTCCAAGATGTTAACATTTCAAAAGGTAACTATCATTTAAAAATAATGAAGATACTGTAAATTATTTTTTTCAGATTCATTTGGAATTCAGCATGTGTTTTTAAGTGCTTAGTGGCCATACATATCCAGATTGTATCAAGAACTCCATTCAGAGCCGGGGTGGGGGCGGGGGCAGTAACTTGCACCTATAATCCTAGCTACTCAGAAGACAGAGATCAGGAGGCTCAAGGTTCAGTGCCATTCCCAGGCAAACAGTTCCTAAGACCCTAGGGCTAAAAGATTGGTTCAAGCAGTAAGAGCACCTGCCTACAAAGTGTGAGGCCTTGAGTTCAAACCCCAGTGCCACCAAAAACAAAAAACTCCATTCAGGCTGGGTGCGGTGGCTCACACCTGTAATCTCGTAGCTATTTGTGAGGCTGAAATAGGAGTATCACAGTTCGAGGCCAGCCCAGGCAAATAGTTTGCAAAAATCTCGTCTCCAAAATAACCAGAACAAAGTGGAATGTAGATGTGGCTCAAGCGATAAAGCACCTGCTGTGCAAGTGCAAAGACCTAAGTTCAAACCTGTCCCACCAAAAAAAAAAAAAGATCAGGAGACTTAGGAAACTCACAAAAGAAGATATTCAATGGCCAATAAATTTACTGCAAACATACTCAACCCCATTACTCAAAAAATGAAAATTGCCTGGTGAGGTGGTACACACCTGTACTCCCACCTACTTGGAAGGCTGAGGCAAGAAGATCCCTTGAGCCTAGAAGTTGGGGTCAGTCTGGACAACATAGTGAGATTCCATCTCTTAAAAAAACAAAAATACAAATTAAAAATCCAATTAACTACTACTGCATACCTACTAGAATAGCCAAAGTAGAGAAAAAAAAGTGAACATTTAGGAGACACTGCTTGTAAAGATGATAATCACTGTGCTTTTGGCAGATTTTGTACTCAGCTTAGTCTGCCCCTCAGGCAGACTACAGGCTCTGACACAAATGGTGTGGGGGTCTCTCATGTAAAGATTAATTCATCACAAATTTACCAGCTGAAGAGTTGAAGATAAAGTGTTTCGGCCTTCACCTGCAGGTCCTGATAAATATAGTGAAGATCTTCAGCATCCTCAAACTGCACATTGTTGCCTGAAGAGAAAGTACGAAAAAAAGTCCACATTGAGTGCAAGACACAATAAAGATGCTTAGATTTAAAAAGAAAAACATATACCTCTCAAATTCACAAAAGTATTCCTGCAGTGAATGCGTAATTGAAAGGGGTTAAATATTTAATAAGAATCAAGCCTCTGAAGTTGCTGCAAGGACTTCCAACAGTGAACATGTCTGACATGCCTCACAAGTACTAGGAAATTAACAGTGGCATTGACAACATGTGGAGCAGGAAGCAGTTAAGTCCTAATGCCACAGCAGCTTCAGATAAGAAAATACAAGGCCAGACTCTGGTGGCTCACAGCTGTAATTCTAGCTACTTAGGAGGCAGAGATCAGGAGGATAACGGTTCAAAACCAGCCCAAGCAGATAGTTCGAGAAGACCATGTCTCAAAAATACCCAATACAAAAAAAGGGTTGGAGACATGGACAAGTGGTAGAGCGCCTGCCTAGTAAGCATGAGGCCCTGAGTTCAAACCCCAGTACTGAAAAAAATGCAAATTGTTTTTATTTCAAATTGGTGAGAATATATTTTAAATCTCATTCCAAAAAATAAAGACATCTAAAAATACAAATTTTGCTGGTGGGATATGTACCAGAACAGCTTTCCTACTATAAATACTTACACAACCACTTCAGAAGGTAGTTTTTGTCCTTATTGTCTAATGACAAATACATGTTTACTTTCATACATTTATCCTATGCATGTGCTTAGTTTATATGTATCAAGATACTCCCATCAAGAAAAAAACTACAAAGCCATTCATAATAGCATTATTGATAGCAATAAAAGCTGGATTGTTAGAATATATTAATTACTTATGGTATATTAATAAAGACGAATACAGTACAAATTGTATTTATAACCTATAAATATTTTAGGTTTTGCAGGCCACACTATAAAATCATAAAATCTCATTATTGTTTTTTTAAGACAGGATCTCACTATGTAGCCCAAGCTAGCCTCGAAGTTACAGTCCTCCTGCGTTAACCTCTCAAGTGCTAGAATTACATGCATGTACCTTGATGCCCATCTAAAACAGTTCTTAACAGCCATATAAAAACAGATCCGAGGCTTTGGCCCATGGAAATAGTGTGCCATAGAGCAAAGAAAATAAACAAACCACAATTACATGCAACAACTTGGGTAATCTTGAAAGAAGTTGAGCAAAGAAAGTTCAGGCACAAAAGAATAAATATTATATGATTCTATTTATAAAGTTTACAAAACAGGCAAAACTAAAGCATATTTTTAGGGCACATATTTAGATGGTGAAAACCAGAGGCAAAATAAGGAAAGTGATTACATTGGCTGAAGGGCTCTAGGAATGTTGTATTTCATGGCCAGGCAACTATTCACTTTCTGGTGAATCACTGAGCTGTGTACTTTGGGTGATTATTTTGTTTTGAAGTTAAAGAATGTGTACTACATAAAAGTTTAAATGTTCACTGAAATTTCAGCAATGACCCTTGGCTGCTTTGTCCTTCTTTAAACTAAGATACTCTAGTGTTGGGAAAAAAAAAAACTTTCTTTAATTTGGCCTGCCTTCCTTTCCAGTTACTGCCCCTTACTGCATCCTTTCAATACAACACCTTTAAAGAGTAGTCTATACTTTCTCTTACTTTTTTTTTTTGCTTCTTTGATTCCACATTTATCCCCACCACTCTACTGAAACTGCTTTCACTATTGTTGTCATTGGTCTTATGGCTAAAACCTATGGCAGGTTGTCAGAAAGGTGACACTGCCATTCATTCACACAGTTCATTCAACAGGTAATTATATTTTTACTAAGAAGAATGAGGATGCAGTGTAAACAAGACTAAGAACATCTTTAGTGACCTCACAGAACTTGCATTCTAGTGGAGAAATGAGGAATTAATTTTTAAACAAATAAATATAATAATTTCAGGTAGTGAAGCTATAGGGATAATAGCCCAGGATACTCTACTTTGATAATGACCCCTTAATGTGTGAAAAAAGGAGGCCGGAACCATTTCAGAAGAGGCAGCTAAGGATGGTCTCTATAAGGAATGTTTGACACAGGTGGTTGCTCCCCACCACACACGCCACTCAATTTTCCTAATTTCACTTGCTTCTCCTACCTCTCTAACCATTCCTCTTCTGTTCTGTTTGTTTTGAATCAGGGTCTCAGTATAGCCCAGGCTGGCCTCCACTAAAAATCCTCCTGCCTCAACTTCCCAAGTGTTAAGATTACAGGTACATGCCCACCATGGTCTCTTTTGCTTGCTAATTGCTCTTCTGCCTGTTTTTCTTTTTTAATTATAAAAATTTTCAAATATAAAATCTTTTTCATTTATTTATTTTGGCAGTACTGGGGATTTATCTCACTCAGGCATTCTACCACTTGAGCCATGCCCCCAGCCCTCTTTTTTTCTTAAATGAAACATTTTAAACATGTCAGACATGTCATTTCTTACCTACTTAATTCAGTTTGCCTTGCCAAAAATATGGATATTTTCTTATATCAAACAAAACTAATAATAATACCTAGGTATTATCTAATACCAATCCTTAACTAAATTTTTCAGATTTTCTCTGTCTTTACAATTGGATTCAAACAAGTCTGCACATTCCACTTGGTTGTATTTCTTAAGACTTTATTAATCTTACAGTCTACCTCTATTTTTCTCCTGCCATTTACTTGTTAGAAAACAAGTTAATTGTTAATTCTGCTTTCTGAATTCAACTCGTGGAAGAAACTGCCTGTCAGTATCTGAAATAAAGAGCATAAGTCAGTGCAGTGGCTCATGGCTGTGATCCTAGCTACATGGGAGGCTGAGATTGAGAGGATCATGGTTCAAAGCCGCCCTGGGCAAATAGTTCAAGGAGAACTCATCTCCAAAATAACCAGAGCAAAAATGGACTGGAGGTGTGGTTCAAATGGTGAAGAGCCTGCTTTGCAAGTGCAAAGCCCTGAATTCAAACCCCAATCCCAAACACAAAAAAAAAATATGAAGGATTATATTGATATAATTATATTGCATAAAGGAGAGTGATGCTGGTCTGATAGAGTCTCTACAGAGTAGAACACTGGTTGCCGTTTAGTTGGTTTTTGATTTCTTTTGGAGTACTAGCATTTTAGCTCAGGGCTTCACACTGCTAGGCAGGTGCTTTGCTGCTGAATCCACATCTCCAGCCCTCTTTGGTTTTTTGAAACAGGATCTTGCCCTGTGACTCAAGCTAGTCTTGAACATTCAATCCTCCTGCCTCAGCCTCCTAAGTGGTGAGATTATAGTTGTATACCACCTCATCCGGCTACACTGATGTTATATAGGTTTTGAAGAAATGGTGGAATTCAAGAAGCAGATTTTTAGATCCATTAGTGGGTTGATATCATTTGCAAGAGTACAATCACTTGGGTGGACAGTTGATAAGTTGGTACTCAGGTGTGTTTATTTGAGTAAGGCTATTCCTGTTTGGCTGATTTTCAGAGACAAAGAACATCTAATGATCAGTTGGCTTGGAAGTATTCACCAGGGAAGTCATCATTGATAATTAAATGGATTTAAAACCTACTGAAAGGATTTAAAACTAGTTCTGTGGTTTTTCTTGTTACTATAATTATATAACAATTAGTCTTTTCCTAGGACTCTGCAAACTTTTATTTTCCTTGTGATATTAACTTGTTCTTCTATCCTGTTTTTGTTGAAATTTTTTTTGTTTGGGACTTGGGTTTGAATCAGGACTTTGAGCGTGCAAAGCAGGTACTCTGCCGCTTGAGCCACACCTTCAGTCCTGTTTAAACTTTTTTGACAAGATTATTTCATAGGTCATACTGTGTGTTCTCTGTTGTGTTAAGTCTGGTAACTTAATGATACCTGGTTGCTGCCATGGTAAAGTTCCCTGTCAGGCTTTGTCTGATGGGTTAATCCATTGATAATCATTACTTGAAAGAATAGTCTTTTTTTTTCTTGATGTTGGGGATTGAGCTCAAGGCATTTTTTTCATGCTAACCATGAATTCTGCCACTGAGCTATACTCCCCAACCCCATATTCATTATTTATAATGCCCAAATTGTTCTTTCTCCGACCACCTTTTAAATGCTCTTCTCCCCCTAGTGTTCCATCACTGATGTGGTTTTTTTCTCCCCTCTGTACTCACTTCCCTGACTGACCTTGGTTTTTCCTATAACAACTGTCTCAACATTTACTTACTTACTTACTTACTTACTTACTTATTTATTTTGGCGGGACTGGGGTTCAAACTCAGGGCTTCACACTTGCAAAGCAGACACTCCACTGCTTAAGCCATACCTCCAGTCCATGACTCTCAACATTTTAATTATCCCCAAATCATTCATTCTTACATCAATTTACCAGGCATCAGACCTGTATTTCCATTTACTTACCTGCATGATTTTCCCAAAACATGTAGTACACATGACTTCATTTCTTTAAACTGTTTGTTCTTTTTTCCTGTTCTTGTATTCTCAATTCCCATTTCCATGCATCCTCTTTCCCATGCCTGAACCCTGGATGCCTTCTTCCCTTTTACATATCTTGGCATTCTCCTAATTTTATGTCAGAACTACTTCATTTTCCAGCTCTTCCTCTACATCACATTGCTTACAGTGCTCAGGCCATAAGGGCATCTTACTGACACTAACCGACACTAATGGCCCACACTCCTAAGTAAAATGCGTACAATCTATCGCTCTTTCTACCCCAGATTGTTCTGTTACTCCCCTTGGAGTTATCATCTTGAAAATGAGTCTTATTATGCTAATCCACCATTTCAGTATCTACCTCTGCTACATCCCTGTTACCGAATACGTCAGTGCTTTCCCAGTTTTCTTCAACAGAGCCCTAATTTTACAACATGGTAATAGGTATTCTTTGGGGCTGGAGGATTGCCTCAAGTGGTATATCTGAATAACAAGTGCAAGATCCTGAGTTTAAACCCCGGTACCACAAAAAAAGGTATTCTCTGAAAAAAGAGATGCTAGAAACATGTTTAGTAAACATTTCTTTGTATTTCTAAGTCTTTTATATGCAGTGTATTTTATTCTGTATCTCAAACAGGAGGATGTTAATTAATAATATTCTATAAACTCACTGCATCATGTAGTCTTTATTGTTACTACTATGTATCTAGTGGGATTTAACGTTAGTCAATAGCATTTTGAGAGCCACTGGCCAAATGAGTCAGTTTAATCCAAATTCAGCCTTAAGATTGCTTTCAAGGCCTTTCACATTGTCCCATATTAAATTTGATACCCACTACTGTTCCCTTAACACTCTTTCCAAATGTCCTTCTGGATTTGTCTCAATGTATTAGGGTTATCTATATCCATCTTCCCCCTGACCACGGGGGTTATCTATAGCTCTACACCCACCACACTAAGCAGTGTCTAGCACATAATAACTCAGCAGCAACTCACTAAATAATAAGTGGATCTATTTCTGAAATAAGAATTTCTCTGCTAGCCATTTTCTCCAGCTCTATTATTATTGTCATGCTTACAGGATCATTGGTTTCTTTAATTTGTAGGTTAGAAAAAAGAATAAAATTATACACTATAGTTGAAGTAGACCTTAAGTTTATCCAGACCAGTGGATTTCAGACTATGTGCAACAGAGACCTTGGTGTTCTACAAACCTCTTTCCCATAAGTTTTCCTTCCCTGCAGAGGCCATTAGAGGGATTGAGAAGGAGGAAAGTGGCATATGAAGCACAAACTGTCTTAATAAATTTTAATATTGGGCTTCTTACATTTCCTTTGAAAAGGAATTCTAACCCACGCACAGGAAATCAATGTGAGTCAATGCCCTGTATAGCTATCCTTATCTCAACCAGCAAAAACCCTTGTCCCTTCCTGTTATTGCTTATAATCTCTCTACAACAAAATTAGAAATAAGGGCAAAATAGTTTCTGCTGGGTATTGAGGGTGGGGGAGAGGGAGGGGGCAGAGGGGGTGGGGGCAGGGGGGAGAAATGAACCAAGCCTTGTATGCACATATGAATAATAAAAGAAAAATGAAAAAAAAAAACAAAGGGAATGAAGAAGAAATGACCCAAGCCTTATATGCACATATGAATAATAAAACAATAAAAAAAAAAAAGAAAAGGAATTCTAAGACTACAGTTTGGGAGCCACTGGTCTAGAATCTAGTCCATTCACTTGTAAAGAAGTAGTAACAGGCAGAAAGGGGTTGATTTTTTTTCCAGGTTCACAGAGTTCTTAGTAATGGCCAGAATTAACACTCAGATTATATTATTCTCAAGTAGTGCTCTTTGTAAAATTATGAAAAATGGGAAAGCCCTTTAGAAGATTATGGACTAACATTCTATTATGTGTTCACATGAAAATTTGTTCATGTCATTCATAGCAGCCTTATTTATAATAACCCAAATTGGACACAATCCACATGTTCTTCAGGAAGTAAGTAAACTGGCATATCCATACAGGAGCTTATTTACGCACATGATAGAACTGAAAACACACAGACATATAAGTCCAAGTAAAACTGGAGCCACTGGATGAGATCAGTGGATTATTTCAAAGCCAGTATCCCAGTTGTGATATTATACTATTGTTCTATAAGGTGTTATCATTAGGGAATTTGGGTAAAGAATACAGGGGTCTATGTGTTGATATCATACTATAATTCTATAAGATTCTACAAGTACTTCAAAATAAAAGGGTTAGCTTTTTAAAAATTCAAAATAAAGATGCCTTCAAAAAATAAAATGTTATTATGTGCATTTATTGCTTAGAGCCAAACTTGGGATGCCACAGTTTTTGAGTCCTGAAGCCCAGAGTCTTTTACGAATGCTTTTCAAACGAAATCCTGCGAACAGATTAGGTAAAGATTTTAATTTATTTCTTTAGTGTATTTGTTGGAGTTTGGAGGGGGAGGTTTATATCTGTTTTTATGGTGGGTTTTGGACACATTAATTAAAGGCAAAGACGGAACAATATTATTTATTCTTGAAATAAAACTACCAATAAATTTTTGATAGGTGCAGGACCAGATGGAGTTGAAGAAATTAAAAGACATTTATTTTTCTCAACAATAGACTGGAATGTAAGTATAGATTTAAAACTTGCTTGAGGGCTAGGGTTGTAGCTTAGTAGTAGAGCATTTGCCTAGCATGTATAAGGTCCTGGGTTCTAGTTCCAGCAACACAAAAAAGAATTTGCTTAATAGCTATGGATATAGATATATAGTAATTAATACATTTCTGTTTTCTTACAGAAACTGTATAGAAGAGAAATTCACCCACCTTTTAAACCTGCAACAGGCAGGCCTGAAGATACATTTTATTTTGATCCTGAGTTTACTGCAAAAACTCCCAAAGGTAAAGAAAAAAATATGGCAGCTGAAATATAAGACAGTAGAAAATACTTTTTCTTGTTCAATCAGAAAGTCTTTTCCAGAGTAACTCGTTATACTAACCTTGAATCTCCTAAATTTGCTATATATCAACCTTGTATCTCTTCTCTAATTAGTAGGTAAAGCATTGGTAGGCCTTCATGTAGAGCTGCACCATATGGTAACCAGTAGCCACATGTGGCTAAATTCAAATTAATTGAAATTTAGTTTCTCAGTCACACCAGGCACATTTCAGATGCTCAGTAGCTACATGTGGCTCCTGGCTACCATTGGACATCACAGGTAAAGAAAATTTCCACCATTCCTGGAAGGTCAATGGGTTGGCACTAATTTCAAATGCCATTAATTCAGTAATTCACTTACTGACTATATGCTGCAAATTAGCTGTTTTCTAGGCTTTGAGAAAGTAGGTTCTTAGGGTGGTGATAGTGAAAAAGTAAGTGATCAAGACAGATCTGATACCGTGCCTCACTGAGGTATCCTGGACAGTAAGATGTGCATACTGGGTGCCTGAGAAGAGCTCCACTTTTCCCCCTAATAACCTTTAAAGGAATCTTCTTAGTATTTCTTTATTCTTTTCAGATTCACCCGGCATTCCACCTAGTGCTAATGCACATCAGCTTTTTCGGGGGTTTAGTTTTGTTGCTATTACCTCAGATGATGAGAGCCAAGCTATGCAGACAGTTGGTGTGCATTCAATTGTTCAGGTGAGTGGATGTCTCAAAAACTTCAACTTTGAAATGTTATTAGATATATCTCATGAATAATAAAATTTGATTTTATGTGCTGACTTTAAGCAAGCAGGTTAGTATACATTTTATATCATCAACATTACTCTTAGAAATTCCTTTCAGATGTCATTGAAAAGGTTGCATGAACCAAAATCTTAGATATCTATGTGACTTGAAAGCAGAATTCTAAGAAACTGAGACAAATATAACCATCTTGTCTGTCCCCTCTCCAAGGACTGTCTCAAAATATTTGTTAAGCCTAGTGTGTTCTTCCATACCCTGCCTTTGTCAGATCAGCTCTGATGGACTGAGGTCTCCTGGTTCCTTAATGCTTTAGAACAGGGGTCAGCAGACTTTCTCTGTAAAGGGTCAGAAAAAAAATGTTTGAGGCTTTATGCACTATATGTTTTGTCCTGTGACTATTTGTCTGTGCTATCATGGTACAAAAGCAGCTATTATGCTGAGCATGGTAGTATACATCTGTAATTCCAGCACTTGGGATGTGGAGGCAGGAAAATTGTGAGTTTTTGGCCAGCCTGAGCTATGTAGCAAGATCCTGTTTGAAAAAAAATTTTTTAAAGAAGGGCTGGAGGTATGGCTCAAGTGGTAGAGCACTTGTTTAGCAAGACGAGGGGCCTGTAGGCTAAATGTTGCTAAAAGGAACACAACTAGTACAAACCATTAGATTTCTTTCTTCCAAACCTAGATAGATAAATTTATTTCACTCTGATGTGACCACTGCACATTGTATACATGTGTCGAAATGTCACATTGTACATCATAAATATAGACAATTACTATGTGTCAGTTAAAAATATTTTAGGGCCTGGTGGTATAGCTCAGTGGTGGTAACTTAAGTGCTAGTGCCCTTGCCTAGCATGCATGAGATCCTGGGTTTGATCTCCAGAACTGCAAAAAATGAAAGAAATGTACAAAATTACTTTTTTAAAAAAATCATCGAGGGGACTAGATCTATCTTCTAAAGAATTAGATTGTTTTTAGGGTATCATTAATGCTTGAATTTGCTTGATGATGAGCTGCTTTTTTGGTAAAGTATTTTTTGTTTCTATTTGTTTGTTGTTTTTGTTCTTGCAGTGCTGGGGATCAAACCCAGGTCTAAGTCCTCAGGAATGCTAATCAAGCTCTCTACCACTGATCTATACCCCCAGCCCTGCTGTAAAGTTTTTGCATGAGTCAGTCATCTTATTTTCTGTTTTCTAGAAAACCAGTTTAAACACTAGTTTTTAAATAAAGGTTATGTTGGCAATAGTCTATCCTGTTTACCATGCAAACACATGAATTTATGACAAGTTTTAAATTTTAACTTCTGTAACTAACATAGAAACCACAAACATATATTTTATAGCATTCATGTTTTGCCCTTTACAAAGGTTATATAGGCATAGTCTCATATCAGTATAGCCAAGGGCAGCACAAAGTTACCTCTGCCTATTTATGCAAATAGTAATTTGCTGTTCATCATCTATCATATGTTATTAGTCCCTAACTCATAAACAGCTTTAGCAGAAGTTGTATAAAGTTACAACTTCAGGGTGAAGAAAGAAAGACGTGGCTACTAAAAGACCAAGATGATAACAGGTGTCACTTGTAAATACATTGTTTTTATTTAATCCTCATCATTACCCATTGAGAAAACATAGGTTCAAGGTTACATGGTCCTTAAGTGGTACATCAGATGTTCTATTTCTTTTTTATTATTATTATTTTATTATTCATATGTGCATACAAGGCTGATGTTCTATTTCTGAATCCTCCTAAATCTTCTGTACCAGACATTTCAAATCTCTTCATTTGCAGAGGTGCTTCTAACGCCTATAGCTGGCTGACAAAAATATAGTCTCCTTATCGAGTAGCTCTGCTTTTTCTTTTATACATATTCAGTTTTTCCTTATTAACATAAGCTTTTTTAAAAGACATCTTGCTATACATATCCACTTGTAGAATAGGTGCTGTTAAGAATCATTATTTTAGTTTTGCTGATAGCCATTACATTGATAATTAACATCAGCAGTGCATGCTGAGTAATATCTTCCCATATTATGAAATGCACTAAAGGTCTTAGAGAACTCTTTATCATGTTATATTTTTTAATATTTTTATCAATTTATAACTTTGTAGCAGTTGCACAGAAACAGTATTCAGTTTACTGATGGATATGAAGTAAAAGAAGATATTGGCGTTGGCTCGTACTCTGTTTGCAAGAGATGTATACATAAAGCCACAAACATGGAGTTTGCAGTGAAGGTAATTATTTTTAGATTTAAAATGCAACCCTAACAGTTTTATTCATATATGTCAGTTTTAGTTAAAAATTACTCTCTTCTAAACCGGGTGCATGTGCAATGGTATGTGCCTGTAATCCCAGCTACTTGGGAGACTGAGACAGGAGGATCATGAGTTCGAGGATGGCATCGGCAATATGCTGATACCCTATCTCAAGAAAAAAAGATACACTTTTCTCTTTGGCAAAATTTCCTTTTGTTATAAAAATTAAGATAAATTTAAATATCTGGGCTAGTGATCTTCAGTTATCTTAATTGGGAACCATGGATACCCCAAGGTGAAAGGTAAGGTGGTCATTCATCCAGTTTGCCCAGGGAGTACCAGTTTATACCTCACATGATTTTGAATAGCACTCTTTTTACTCTCAAAACTCTCCATTTTTGTGGTCAGGTTGTCAGGGAATTCCTCAGAATTGTTCCAAGTTTTATGTATTTACATTTTTCTGACAAAAATGTCTACATCGTTCTTTACATCTAAAGAGATCTGTGAACAAATAAAAGAATAAGAACCATGATCATGAAAGTTATTAGTAATTTTAATTTCACCAGGTGTCTTAAAACAGAATTTTCTAAGCCTTTTTTCTGTGATCAATTTTGAATTTCAAACTCTTATCTCTAGATGATTAAACACTATACTCAAAGTCTCTGCCTTCTTTATTGTATTTGTTGTTGTTTGTCAATACTGGAGTTTTGAACTCAGGATCTCACACTTGCTAGGCAGGTACTCTACCACTTGAGCCATGCCCCCAGCCCTTTTTTGCTTTAGTTATTTCTCAGGTAGGGTCTCACATATTTGTCCAGGCTGAACTCAGACCTTAGTCCTCCTATTTACACCTCCCAAATAGCTGGGATTATAAGCATGTGCTATCATACCTGAGGTGGGGGGTCTCACTAATTTTTTGTCTAGATTGCTCTCAAACTACACTCCTCCTGATCTCCACCTCCTGAGTAGCTGGTGTTACAGGTATGAGCCACGAGCCACTGCTCCCAGCTAATTCTTTGCCTTTTCACCACTTAGAATAATAATCTCTGCTGTCCCACCTCAAGAAATTCAAGTAATGTCTACAGCTTCCAATTTGTCTCAAAACTTGGTACTTATTTGTAAGTATGGGTACTTTTTAGTTAGCCAGAGATCAACATTATTATTATTACTAGTCATAACTTAGATCCCTTAAAGAGTTGTCAGGGGGTTAGGGTATAGCTCAGTGGCAGAGTGCTTGCCTAGCCTGTATGAGGTCCTGGTTTTCATCACTAGCACTGCCACCCCTCACAAAAAAAAGTTTTACCTAAGCATGGTTGTACATGCCTGTAATCTTAGCTCTCAGGAGGCTGAAGTAGGAAGATCGTGAGTTTGAGGCCAGCCTGGGCTACATACCAAAACCCTACCTCAACACCAAAAAAATCAGTGTCTAGAAGGCTTTCTGTCGGATATAAGGATGGATGGCTCGTAGAAATACATTTAACTTCCTAGTCTCCTATTCGTTGCTGTTACTGAAATCTGGAGTATATAGACATTTCTAAATTGAACATAAGAGAAGAAGAATAATATACTTGTTAAGCGGTTTTAAGGATGTATTTTGTTTGCCTCTTAACACGTTAGAAAATGCAGAAATGTCCGGGCGTCAGGGGCTCACTCCTGTAATCCCAGCTGCTCGGGAAACAGAGACCAGGATGATTGTAGTTTGAAGCCAGCCCAGGCAAATAGTTCAAGAGGCTCTATTTTAAAAATACCCAACACAAAACAGAGCTGGCAGAGTGGCTCAAGTGGTAAAGCACCTGCCTAGCTAGTGTGAGGCCCTGAGTTCAAACTCCAGTACATTAAAAAAAAAAAACACGTAGAAATGTCCTGAGGCCCCCTTTGAATTACAGAAACGAGGAACAGTATGCCCAGAGCCTTGAGAATGTCTCCTAGCTATTTGTGACTTAAATTAGATTAATAAACTCAATTCTAACACATCTGTATTCTTTTGAAATCTGAGGTGCACAAATACAGATACAATGTAAGTTGGGCTCAGAAGAACAGAGAATGTTGCTAAAATAACATCTCTTAGCTTGTTCTGGTTTTCATGAAACTAGTACCATGTCATCTCTCTTGAACAAGTATCCCTTTCTATACACCTTTCTTTTTAATAATCCATTTGCCCAGTTCCACACTATCATTTGCAGTTGATTACATTGAGTATCTATAATCTCTGTCTTCTCTGTTCTCCAAATACAGAACTGTTTTACAACTAAATCCATTTCAGAAAGAAAATTGGATTCCTACTGAGTGTTAAGCTCTTTCTTAGGTTGTTGGAGTAATTGGATTTTTATTTCATGTATTAAGTACTAACCTGTTTTAAAATTTAAAATATACAAAGAATACAAAGGCCATAAAATTTGTTTCAGACTTTGAGTGAATTGAAAGTCAAATTTATATTTTTTTAAATATATTACTTTAACAGATTAAAACATTAAGAGAAATATTTTTAGGAAGCAAATGACATAAAAGGGTTAGAAAGCTATGTTAATACTTTAAAAGGCTTTATTGTAATAATACTTAATGAAGTAAAATTCTAGGTATTGTTTTTTATGTAGCTTTCTGGTTAATTTCAAAAATATACTTGTTTTACTTAATTAATTCGTTTTTATAAGTAGCTTACAACTAATGGGATATTCCATTAAAGTACTTTTAAGTAAAGTTAATTCAATAAATAGATGCTAGTAGTGGTGTTACAGGGACATTTCGCTCTTAACAGTCTGTATTGATAGGGGAAATGATGCTATGATGCTGATTTGAGTTCCCAGATGTTTAAGGTGTTCAAGAATGGAAGAAAAGATGTGTTAACTGTGTTCTTAGTTACCTTTTCTAAGTCCTACACTTGCTGCAAACTTACATTGGAGAGACCTGGTGGGAACGTGACTCATAGTTTAGAATTTTCAGGCTTGCCATCTACATCAAGACTAGCTTTCTAATTAAGCAGTCTGACCAAGGAGTTGAATAAATGTGATTGGTATATGGCATACATACACACACATATGTATATGTATGCACGTATTAGATAATACCTAAAGTCTGTGACTATAAACATTTAAAGTTGACGTTCATGAGATTTTTGTGATAAATACTTGCCTTTTAGATTATTGATAAAAGCAAGCGAGACCCAACAGAAGAAATTGAAATTCTTCTTCGTTACGGACAGCATCCAAATATTATTACTCTAAAAGATGTAAGTAAATTCTTTAACAAGGCTCATTTGAATAGGTTGTCTAACTCACATTTGGGATATTTTCAAATATGTAATAGACAAAGATCATCAGTAATAGTAAGTTTAGAAAGTAGATTTGTGAATGATGTTTATGGCATCATTCCATTTATAAAGAAAAATATATTAGTTTTCACTTTTGTTTAAAAGTATTTTAACATTATTGCTTTTAATATCTCAATTTACTTGAACGTACACACAAATGTCCAGCATTAATACTATTATTAATTAATACTCAAATTTGATCAGTCCCTCTGCAAGCTCATCAAACTATCTTCCAGAGAGAAGATAGTTACTACCAGAGACAGCTAATGCTCATAACTAGCCATGTTACTTCCCTGCCTACAGTTAAAACTCCCTAACCCCTTAAACCCCTGCCGCCCTCTGTAGCAGTTTTCACACTTCCTCACACACCCTATGCACTAGCCATGCTGTAGTATGTACAATTTTTTGAGCACACCTCATTTTCTTATATTGCCTTGTCTTTGAATTTATGGTTCCCTCAGTTGGGAACACCATTTCCCTTATTCTTTACCTGGCTAAGTACCACACATTTAAGACTTTGTTAAGGGACTGCTTTCTCCAGGAAGTCTACCAACCCTGCCCATCACCACTTCCAGGACAAGGGGTCATCCCTTTACCTGGGCTGTCAGATACTCTGCTACTTATGTTTTCCGTGGCTTTATCAGTGCTCATTGTTAGATGAAGAATATTAACATAGTCACATTATGTGAATTCTCATAACGTGAAGCTGTTCAACTTAAGTGACTTTCATTAATATAATCTCCAAGAATCCATCTAGGAAAATTAAAAAGGAAATCTAGGAAACACTTTCTCTCAGCCTAGCCTTGGACGCTTTCTAAACTGCCATTATATAAATACATATATACATATGTATATATATTTAATATACATCTTTGCTCCTTCCTTCCTTTCAAATTCCAAAGTCTCTGAAATTTTTCTCAAATTTGTATTATAGCATCTCCAAAACTTCTTTCACTTTTATGTATATATCTGTCTGTACTAAAGTAAAAAATTTAAGAGTAGGTACTTCATTTTCTCTATATTTGGGGCCCTAGCACCTATATAGTACCTTGTATCTCTTGTGAAACTAAATAAAGGTTTCCAGTTACTCTATGGTAAAGTTTAATAAAGGGGTTATTTCAGTTAGGGATTTCCTGAGCTTTCTGTTTTTACATTAGGAGTTTGCTGGTATGTTTCTCTGTGGTTGTATGGAATTTATCTTTACTACTTAGTCTTCCTATGTAATTCTTGGCTACAACTTCTCTTTCCATTCAGTCAAAATCAGAATATTTCATTTGTTCTGTATATATAAAAGCAAAAGTTCTGCCTCTGCAGAAATTCTTGGAAAACCACTGGAGTGTGTCGTACTATTCTTAGCTGTCATCAGTAGATGAGAGATCCAGAAGAGAAGCCCTAACAACATAACTTCAACATCCCTTCATATATGATGCTCATAGTTGTTTTAATTTTCATGAATGAAATTACAGGATGCTTTTTTGACATTCAGTCCTAACAATTCCTGTTTTAATATTCTTAGATGTATAAGATTGTTTGCAAATTTTTACCCTCCATTGGTTGTGACAAGGAACTTTTCTTGAATATACAGTGACTTTTAAATTCTCTTTAATATGTTAAACTTTGTTTAGGAGCACAGATAAAGCTTCAGATAATATTTTTATGTTTTGATGTTGAATTTTGTAGGTGTATGATGATGGAAAATATGTGTATGTAGTAACAGAACTTATGAAAGGAGGTGAATTGCTGGATAAAATTCTTAGACAGAAATTTTTCTCTGAACGAGAAGCCAGTGCTGTCCTGTTTACTATAACCAAAACTGTTGAATATCTTCATGCACAAGGGGTAAGTCTTTTTAAGAGTATTTATATGTGCATGCACACACATACACACCTTTTTTCTTTCTTGAGCTAAAAGTGCAAATATGGAATTTACTTCTACATGTAATAGACAATAACTACAAATAGCTTTCTTTTCCTGTGGGTCTTCCTCTACATAAACTTCCCATTGAGTTTGAAGTGTTGCTTTGAAATACTAGCTTATATTACGTTCTTTTGCTTTCTAAGAAAAAGTGAGTGTGATCTTCTGACTTGGAAAGCAGTACTATTTCTGCTGTGTAACTCTGTATCATTGAAAAACAGGCTCACTTCAAGTTAGAAGCAGAACCAGGAAATCCTAGTTTATATTCACATATAAAAGAAAATCCTTAAAACTGGTGAGGCCAAGTAGTCACCTGACTTCTGGCTGTATACAGAGTTTTAGTAAATGGCAAGGGAAAAGGGAGAAAGTAAGGGGAGCAGGGATAAAAGGAGAACAGCAGAGGAGTGAAGAAGGATAGACAGCACGGAAAAGGAGTCTTTGCTCCCATTTCCTGCATGGGGAAAGGAAATGTTTCTCTCTTTTCCCCCTCCCATACTTTATCCTGTTATACTAAAATAAATCTTTGCTAAAATTAAAAAAAAAAAAAAGGAGAAACCATCGCTTTTTTTTTTTACATTTTTAGTTGACAAAAAATGGTATATATTTATGGTATGTGACATATTTTGGTGTATGTACACAAAAGATAACTACTTTTTTGAGATAAGGTCTTTCTATATATTGTAAGCTGGCCTTTTATCTTATTGTCCTCCTGCCTCTACCTCCCAAGTGCTGGGATTACAGGAATGCACCACCATGACTGGCTAAAAGACTACTTCTTAAGGAGTTCATTTTCAATGCATTCTACTTAATTTTGTCTGTCTTTGCCCTTAAACTAACAAGTGGAACATATTAATTTGAGAGCTTCTTAACTGTTATTTTGTCAAGATTTCCCTAGTATTGTACATTGAATTTAGTAGAACTCAATATTTTCCCTGAAGAATTTGACTTTGCAGTCATCTAGGTATTCCATGTTCTTTTCCTAGTGTCTTATTGGTAATTATTTAGTAAAATAGTAAAAAGAAGTAATGTTCTAGATGTTAGAAACTAAAAATTGGTTCATTAATTCAAATATAGACTCAGAATTTGGTAATGGAAGAAACAACTTAAGTCTAAAAAGGCATGTCAGAGAAGTGTATGATAAAAGTATCCAAGTAGGTTGTTAAAGAAGGAAAATAATACAAAATTCTCAAGAAAAGGTGTTTTTGCATACTTGATATCTTTACTTGTATATCAAAGACAATACTTAAAATTGGGTTTGGGATTTTTTTTCCCTTGTACGTCTGAAGGCCATACAAGTTCCATTTTATTTGTCAACATGTATTTGTCTCGTACACATTATTCCCTCTGTTTTAGGATGATGTTTTCCCATTGTTTTTATGGCATGGTTATTCTGTTCTGCAAGTCTTAGGTCAGATGTCATCCTCTTTAGAGTCCCTATTTAAGTAACCTCTGCAGCTATGCCCCATCTGTGAGATCTGTTCTCTGCCTTTCCCACTACCATAGAGGTTCAGGATCTCATGATCCTCCACATTTTTTGCAGCCCCTTACAGAATGCCATGGTACATGGTAGACACTCAGTAAATACTTTTCCTTCTTGTCCTTGCCCCAGGTCTAAGTTAGAGAGTTATGCTTACATTATCAGCATTTTATAATGTTGGGATAATTTAAAGGTCAGTAATCACCTTGTTACGTGCATTGTTTGACAGTTGTGAATAAAGAACTTTCAGTAAGGAAATGTATTGTTAATGTAACTCTTTAATTTGTATTTCAATTAGGTGGTACACAGAGACTTGAAACCTAGCAACATTCTTTATGTCGATGAATCTGGTAATCCAGAGTCTATTCGAATTTGCGATTTTGGCTTTGCAAAACAGCTGAGAGCAGAAAACGGTCTTCTCATGACGCCTTGTTATACTGCAAATTTTGTTGCACCAGAGGTAATTGCAAGAGGGTTCACTTGCAGTATTTTGATATATATAAGAACTTACTTGCTGTGTTTACTATGGAATAGTTAATAATTGTTTAATTGAAGACTTACTGAATAAACAATTAAGATAAAAATGCCAGTCCTTTATTTCCGTGTTTAATGCTTCAGTAGCATCTGATTGCTTGTGGGAGAAAAATCTAAATTCTTAATAAGATATTATAAAAGCTCTTCACTCTCTAATATTGCCTACCTGAAGTTCTGACTGTTTTAAACTCTTTGCCTATCACTAAGGCTGCTCTGCCTGCTTATTTCTATGCTCTGCCCTCCCCCCTACCTCTTCTCTTTGCCTATTGAATTCTATAGAAGCAATCTGCCCTCTAACCTTTTCTGTCTTCCCATATCAAGAATAAATTGGAGGGCTGGGGTGTGGCTCAAATGATAGAGCACTTGCCTAGCAAATTCGAAGCCCTGAGTTCAAACCCCCCCACACAAACAGAAAAAAAGAAAGAATAAATTGGCACTGAGGGGTATAGCTTAGTGGTGGAATAATTGCCTGGCTAGCAGGAAACCCTGGGTTTGATCCCCAGTTCCACAAAAATGAATAAATTGCTTCCTCAACTTTATACGCATATCACTTCAGACATGACTTTGGTATAATATTTATCATGTTGAATTGTTAACAATTTATATGTTTATTTCCCCTGTCAGATTTGATATTTTTAATGAAATAGATCTTTTGTATTTGTTGTAGCTTGTGCCCAATAACAGTTGGTGAATATTAAATGCTTGAGTAAATCAAATTTTATATATGTAGTGTTTTGCACTATTTCATTTGTATATCTTCAGTTTGTTCTATATTCTTCTATGTATATGCTTTAAATATTCATTCAAATACCAAACATAAATTTATATATATGAATTATTAATAGTAGAATGTTCTAAAATAAGATTAAAATATTGCCTTAAGTTCACAAAGCATCTTCATACATATAAAAAACAGTAGTGTGATAATACTGATCTTTAAATTTTTTTAGGTTTTAAAACGACAAGGCTATGATGCTGCTTGTGATATATGGAGTCTTGGTGTCCTCCTCTATACAATGCTTACTGGGTGAGTATGTGCCATATGTTAGAAGCATTTATTAATCAGTATTTTTGCTTAAATTAATGTGGGTTTCCATACCATTTTTATACTCTTATTATGTCATAAGCAAACACTATTTTTAGTATTTTATTCTAAAATGTGTCATAGCTTAAGATATTTATAATATAGTAAATCTAATATTTTATAGTCTATACTTTGGCCTATGGAGCTTCATTTTATTGAGTTTTATTTCATTTTGGTAGATTTCAGTAAAGTATTAATTACTCAGTATTTTGGAAACTGCAACTAAATATAAAGATTACTAACCAAAAAACGAAATTTTATTCAATAATATTTTAATTTTATTATAAATTAGTTACACTCCCTTTGCAAATGGTCCTGATGATACACCTGAGGAAATATTGGCACGAATAGGTAGCGGAAAATTTTCACTCAGCGGTGGTTACTGGAATTCTGTTTCAGATACAGCAAAGGTAAGTGTAGCTTCCTATTATAAGCTGTTTTTATTTTGTTTTGTATTTAGTGCTGGGGATTGATCCAGGGCTTGGAGCATGCTAAGCCTGCTCTCTACCACAGAGCTACATCCCCAGCCCTATTATAAGCTTTTGTTTATTTTTGTTTTCTCGTAGTGCTGGGGATTGAACCCAGGGCCTTTCACATGCTAGGCAAGCACTTTACCCAGCCCCTATTACAAAAGATATTGATTTGTTTTTTGTTGTTGTGGGACTGGGGTTTGAACTCAGGGCTTCACACTTGCAAAGCAGGTGCTCTACCACTTGAGCCACACATCCAGTCTATTTTGCTTTGGTTATTTTGGAGATGGAGTGTTGAGAACTATTTGCCTGGGCCTGGCCTTGAGCCTCCCGAGTAGCTAGGATTACAGGTGTGAGCCACTGGTGCTCAACTTGATTTGGCCTTATTATCTGTACATCTAAAACTTGGGATATGATGAATAATAATGGTGGTGGTCCATGATTTGTTTGTCTACTATATGCATCACTCAGCATTTTACCTAAATTATCTCATGTAATCCTCATAACAACTCGTACAGTGGTATCTGCAATTTACAGAAGGAAACCAAGAACTAGAGTTTTAGTGTGAAGTTGTCTATGGTTACACACCAGGTACATGAGGTCACTTTCAGCTGTCTCATTACATATGCCTTATTTCCTAGAATAATTACACCATGTTCTAGTTTTGTTTCATGTTATGAAGAAATAGATCTCATCTTTTGCACAATAAACAGTGGCACAGTTTTCTAGCCTCTGCTTGAAATTGTTGGAAAAAGCACCCCCTAGATCTGTCATCCCTAGAATAGCACTGACTTGCTTTCTAACTTTCTCTTCTTTGACTTAATTCATAGAAAATTCATATTTAAAAAAATGCTTTTCCACTTCAAAATAAGAAAAACAGAGTAGATGAAGAAATGTTGTCAAAGGTGCTCACTGATTTTTCCGAGAAATGGAAGCTTGAGTTAGATGATGATTTGTATAAGTAAATAGAGCACATCAAAAATTTATGTAAGTTCTTTTGGTGTAGAGCATGAAGCCTCGGTTAACTAGTTTAATGTCAGTATAGATAATATTTGGTTTTTTTAACTGCATTTAAAATAAAATGTTAGGTTGAGGGTATACTTCAGTGACAGAGCATGTACTTAATATGCATGAGACCAGTCCCCAGTACCAAAAAACATTCGCGAGACCCTTATCTCCAAAATAACCAGAATAAAGTAGACTGGAGGTATGACTCAACCAATAGAGTGCCTGCTTTGCAAACGCAAAGCTCTGAGTTCAAACCCCAGTCCCACCAAAAAAAAAAAAGTTAATCTTTACCTTTTTTTCCTGACAGTTTCTTGGAACAGGTACTTCATTTTTCAGGGTACCTATTTCCTTTCTGATTCCCTTAATTGAGCACCTACAATATATTTAATAAACAAAAGCCCTGGAGATAAAGGATGCAACAAAGATAGAATTCCTGACTTCAAGGAACTTACAATCTAAGAGACAGCCAAAAATGCACAGTACCATGTCATTTGTGCTGCCACAGTGGTTCACTTTTTGTGCTAAAAGAAGTTTACAGAAGCCAAGCACTGGTGACTCATGCTTATAATCATAGCAGCTTGGGAGGCCGAGATCCTGAGGATTGCAGTTCAAGGCCAGCCCATCTCCAAAATAACCAGAGTAAAAATGGACTGGAGGTGTGACTCAAGCAGTAAGTAGAGCCCCTGCTTTGTAAGTGCAAAGCCCTGAGTTCAATCTCCAGTCCCACAAAAAAAAATTCACAGATGATGATGCTTGATTAGAAGAATTGCCACCAGTCTCATCATTTGATATTACTACTACAGTGTACACAAGAGAGGGTATAGGCTGGAGTTCAAACCCCACTATATGTGAGAGAGAGAAAGAGAGAGAGGCTGATGAATTCAGATTGTGAAAAGCTTTGTAGCTCATGCTCAGGATCATGGGTTTACTATGGGTATTATGAAAATGTTAAAAAATGTTAATCAGTACAATGATCAGATTTTCCTTTTAGCGCTACATTGAGCAGTAGTTCTTATCCATGGAGTCTGCCACAATATCAAGTAACACTACCAATAATGAAGTATCAGAACTTAAACATTACTTGCCTTTTTTTGAGCTAGTTGAGATTATCTCTGTAATTTTGTCCTCATTCAGTTTCACACAAATAGAACACAAAAAATTACATCCAACTAACATCCTATCTTATAAATTCCATACTATTACCAGTAATTTTTGCTGAAGTGCACAGTTAAGACTTGCCATTGCAAGCACGATTACCCACAAAATGAAAGGAAGAGCTCTATCAATTTGGATGTGTCTCTTCAAGAGCAAGTTGCATATGTGAATATTGTCTGTCTTTTGGGCCATACATGTCCTATGTGGACTTGAGAAGAACAGAAACCTAGCATTTCTTTACTGAGTTTACATTCAAAGGACTGTGTTACCATCTTACGTTGTTTCATTCAGTCTTTTGTTGTTGTTGTTGTTCTCTTTTTTTGGCAGTAGTGGGGTTTGAACTCAGCTTCGTACTTGCTAGACACTTGAGCCACACCTTTAGCCCTTCCTTCAGTCTTGACCTACATTGTTACAGTCAGTCCTCACTGACCTAATATCAGGGACATCACTTAAAAGGTTTCGCATATTTCAGTTCATGAATGATGAGGGCCTAAACTTGAGCTGTTGTAGTAGAATTTGAGCCAAATGGAAGAGAAATTTAAGAGACAGACAGAGTTAGTAGTTTATTGGACATAAATGAGGGAGAAGCAAGTATCAAGCATGAAGTTCACATTTTTACCGTGGGTGAATGTAGGAGAGTCTCCAAGGTAATACCAAGATTTGGGACACCTAAGAAGCTTTGAGAGGAGCAACTGCTACAGATTTGGACATAATGAATTTGAAGTGCTTATGTAATAAAGAAATGTATGACAATTAGCAGCTGGCCATATTTGTGGTGTAAGTCTTGGAAAGAAGTCTGTGGTGGAGCATAAGTGAAGAGTTGGCATCATTTGAAGTAGCTAAAGCAGTGACTGAATGAGATTATCTGTGCAGAGTGGTAAGAAAGTCAAGGAAAGACTTCTAGGAAAGTGCCACCATTTAAAGAGAAAGCTGAAACCGGAAAGTATAGATTAGTGGTAGAATGCTTGCCAAGCATGCATAAGGCCCTGGATTCTAACCCCAGCACCACAAAACAGGGAAGGAGGGAGGGAGAGAGGGAAGGAAGAAAAAGGCCAGCTGAAGAGAGAAGTAGTCATTGAAGGAGTAGGAGGAGGAAAAAAAGAAGTTTGAAATGACTTGACCAAAAATCATATACACAGATTTGATTAAAATTATAAAAGAAAAAAAAATCGAAAAACCAAATAACATAAAAAGAATAAAAAACAGTTTTTGTTTGTTCCTGGCAGTTTTGCAATTTTATTTATTTTAAGTACTTTGACTCACTTTCAGAATTTGATAGGGGAGGTCCTTTATTCTTTCTTCACTTTTTATTTTTTCCCATCTCTTTTTTTCTTTTTAATTATTTAAAATTTTTTTGGCATTAATGGGAATTGAACTCAGGGTCTCGTTCATAGTAGGCAGGTACTCTACAATTTGAGCCATACCTCCAGCACTTGTTATGTTGGTTTGTTTTTTGTTTTTTTTGTGGAACTGGGGTTTGAACTCAGAGCTTCACACTTACAAAGCAGTCACTCTACTGCTTGAGCCATACCTCCTGTCCATTTTGCTCTGGTTACTTTGGAGATGGGGTCTCCTGAACTAGAACTATTTGCCTGAGATAGCCTCAAACCACAATCCTCTAATCTCAGCCTCCCTAGTAGCTAGGATTACGGCAGTGAGCCACTGGTGCCCAACCATGTTGGTTATTTTTGAGATAGGGTCTTGTTTTATGCCCAAATGGGCCTGGACCATGTTTCTCCTATTTATGCTTTCCCCGCATAGCTGGGAATAACAAGCTCGTGCCATTGCACCCAGCCATTAGCTGAGATGGAGGGTCTTTCATACTTTTTGCCCAGGCTGTCCTCGAACCATGATCCCCTCAATCTCCACCCCCTGAATAGCTAAGATTATAGGCTTGGGCCACTGCACCCAGTTTGTTTATTTATTTATTTAGAGACAGAGTTTCACTATGTTGCCTAGACTGGTCTTGAATGCCTGGCCTCAAGCAATCCTCCATGTGTACTGGAACCCATGTACACAGCACAGTGTCTGACTCACTTTTTTCTTTTTTTTGCATTTCTGGGGTTCAAACTCAGGGCCTCATGCTTACTAGAAAGGTGCTCTACCACTTGAGCCACTCCACCAGCCCTCCAGTTAGTTTCTTAACTGTGATGTGTTCTCTTTTACCTGAGGCCTTTCCTCTAAATGCACTCCTTTCTGTCTACCTGAAATGTTCTTTTTCTCCCTTCCCTTCTCTAATCCAGCTCCCGCTTATTCTTCTGGTCTCACCTCCTCTTAGGAAGTCACTTCTGTGCTGGGAGATTGGCTCAGGATGTAGAGCTCCTGCCTTGCAAGTGTGAGGCCCTGAGTTCAAACCCCAGTTCCACAAAAAAAAAATTTTAAGTCACTTCTAAGCCATCCTGCCCAGTGTAAGTCAGGTGTCTTCTTTATGTTCCTCTAGCTACACTTTGTACTTGTCCATCTCAACAAAGACCTTATTTGCTTTGTAATTGATTCTTTATTTTTCCTCCCTTACTCAATTTAAGCTTCATGAGACAAGAGTTCTTCTCTGGGTTTATAAATGACAATTAAATTATCATTTTAAAGGTGTAAAACCACGTAGCTATGATAGGAATCTATCCCTGTCTTTATGTTTTTATTTTATTCATTCATTCATGATATAACTGGAGTTTGAACTCAAGGCCCCACACATGCTAGCCAAGCTCTACCACTTGAGCCTCACCTCCAGCCCTATGAAACAAATCTATATTCTATACATAGGAAGCTATTTAGATAGACAGTGATAACAATGACTACCTTTGGAAGAGTAGGATTGTGTGCATTTTTCATATTTTCATTTTTCTGTATTTCCTGATTTACCTATAATGCCCATGAGTTGCTTTTTTTTTTTTAGAAAGGAGAAATTGGAGTATATTTTTCCCCAAATTATTATATTAAATTGCTTTGAGCCCAAAGGGGTACTGTCAGGAAAGAATAGTGGCATAAAAGCTAAGGAAGAGTTAGAGATGTGACTCAAGCAGTATAATACCTGCCTCACAAGCACAAAGTCCTGAGCTCAAACCCCAGTACTCCCAATGGATAAGTAAATGTTTTTTTAAAAAAAAAAAGCTAAGGAAGAACACCTACCAATATCAAGTGCCATAGAAATAAAAGCCAAAAAACAAGGATTAAACTCATTTATTCTTCTTCACCTGACAGGACCTGGTGTCAAAGATGCTTCATGTAGACCCTCATCAGAGACTGACTGCTGCTCTTGTGCTCAGACATCCTTGGATTGTCCATTGGGACCAACTGCCACAGTATCAACTAAACAGACAGGATGCACCACATCTAGTAAAGGTGAGCACTTTATGGTCTCTGTTTTCTATGTCTTCCAGTTGACACTCCGAGAACCCCTGTCCATGCCCCCAGCGCCTTTCCCTTTCAGTCTGCATCCAGTTCTAGTATGGAATTCTCTTATATGGGTGACATAGAAAAGAAAAAAAGTCAAGCATACCAAAATGTCTGTAATGAAATTAATTTAGGGAAATTTTTTAATTTATGTCTGTCTACATAAGTAGTTATTCATCAGCAAGGCATGGCTCAAACAGTAGAGTGCCTGCCTAGCAGGCTCAAAACCCTGATCAACCCGCACTACCACCAAAAAAAACTAAAAACCTGCTCATTCACTACCAGTAAGGACAGATAAGCTTGTGGATTTTCTAACTGAAAGAACATGTCTTGCAGCCTCTCATAGTTTAATCCTTTAGGATTGCAAAGACAAATACCCTAAGAAAAGTGAGGACGGCTTGTTTTGAGCCCATCCCTGTCCTCTCTTGTACATAATTTCAATGTACTACATTGGCTTCAGTTTGTTTTTTTTGTGGTACTGTGGTTTGAACTCAGGGCCTCACACTTGCTAGGCAGGCACTCTGCCCCTTGAGCCACTCCACCAGTAGCTTCAGTTTTAGTTAAATGTGAGGATTTGACCAGTATGGTCATTTTCATTATGAACCTAATAAAATCTGTATACATTTGCATATGAAAAACTATGTGCGAAACCCCATATCACCAAAAAATTATGTAAAAACACCTTTATTTTGTAATCCATGTACATGTGATTTTTGTTACCTTTCTTTCCATTTTTTAGGGTGCCATGGCAGCTACATACTCTGCTTTAAACCGTAATCAGTCACCAGTTTTGGAACCAGTAGGCCGCTCTACTCTTGCTCAGCGGAGAGGTATTAAAAAATCACCTCAACAGCCCTGTGAAGTGACCTCAGTGAGATATTTGGTACCATGATGTAAGCTGATAGCACAAGTTCTGGCGACAGGTAGCACATATCTGAGAGACACCTGCAAGCACACACTGTCCCAGCTGGTACCCATAATGCTGCTGCTCCTGCTGCTGCTCCTGCTTTCCGTCTCTTCTCGCTTTAAATGATTGTTAGCAAGGTAGATTTTTCCTGGAGCTCCAGATGAAATGAAAATGGAAACATGACGAAGATATATTCACTGAATCAACAAGAAAAATAATGAACATACAAATACCACCTAAAAATACACTGAATAAAGTACTCTACACCACATAGCATTATTTTTATAGGAAATATTTCATGTCCCTTAAATATTCTTTGTTAGTTATAGGGATGGACAGTTTATGTTAAGCACTTAGCTTAAACAATCCGTTTATATTAGCACTGTACCCCTTGTGCCATCCAACATTTTGTATGTTTTTGTAAACAGTTCATATACAGTACATTTCTGTACTGCTTTCTTTAATGTATACATGCCTTGTTTAACTTGGAATCTATTATTAAACAATTGACTATTAAATCTGGTTAAATAGTTCACCTGGATTAACAGTATTGTTGGACAGCCATAAAAATGGCCAGATTGTGGAACAGCTATTGAATGTAGTACTTTCAAAATGTACATACCTTTCCCTGTTTCTGTTTCACTGGTTTGTTTCTTAAAGTCAGGTGCTCTGTCAGACTAACCTAGAGAGCTGTTATGGTAGAGAAAGTTGTCTTGTGTGGCATGAAATCAAGAATACGCCTATGAAGTTAGTCCATATACTTTGCAACTCCTTAAGGCTCTTTTATCCTTAATTAAGGAAGTAGTCCTTGCACTTTTAATCCTACATAGTATCCATACTTATTATTTGGCACATCGTTTGGGATTTTCCAAGATACATCAAAGGTCTTTAAGAGTCATGGGTGAAGGAAAATTTAGCAACCAGTAATTGAAGTCCTATTGGATATTTCATGTTTAAATAGATATTCTATACCAGACACTAATTTGAATGTAATAAAGGCCACGGGCCTCTATATGAAACTGGATTTAAACTTTCTTATTCTAGGGAATAAAACATTCTTGATCAAACAGTATCTGTTCTAAACTGAAAACATTGCTAAGGTAGGCATTGAGTGTTTTCTGAATCTCTCCTGATGATTTATAGCCATGTTTCCTTTGAATTCAGAAATGATTAGTTTTCATAATAGCCCTTGGCTATACTTGCTGTATTCATGATTTACATCTAATTTACTATTTTCCACAATTTTATTTGACAAAAGAAACATTGGTACACATCATTACCTGTAAATTTGCCAGGCTACCTAGCATACATCAATATGTATTGTGAAAAATGAGCAAAGAAAAGTGATTTAACATTACTTCATAATGTCCCCAAATAGATCTAAGTCATGTACTAAGCCATTTTATATCAGAAATCTCTGCCAGAATATTTAAATCTTCCCCTAAGAATACTAAGCCAAGCCAAGAGAGTGTGCTTTGTCCAAATGTCATAGAAATCACTTGTCATTCTTTAATTTCCTCTCTGTGCTATTAAAGAGAAAAATCTATAACATCCCTTTTCCCAAGTAATAAAAATTGCATAAAAATCAAATGTAAATTTATCTTCTAAGTGAAAAGTATATAGAAGGAGGGGTATCAGAAGATGTAGATAAGGTTTTTTTTTAAACGCTTTAGTATATGGATACTATTAAAAGCTGCTTTCCATTGACTGGAAAGCTTGCTGTTTTTCTGCTCCTCAATATTTCAAACCATGGTCTTCCCAAATTCTTGTCACTTTTTTAAATGTTAATGTAACTCTTGAGCAGAAAATGGATATATTTTCAGGTTTTTGACAACAATGCTATTCCGTAATTGCTGTATTGTCCATCACAGTCTCTTAGAACTTATAGTTCTAAGTTAAGTAAACATATGACTCCTTATAAATTACCAAGTCAAATTTTTGTATATTGTACGTAAAGAACCTGAGACCCAAATCAAAGACTAGAATCCCTAAATTCTGTTTAGTTCCTTTTTCCTCATAACACCAGGCTGCCTTTTTCCTTCATATCACACCTGACCAGTGGCAGAATTCAAAAACCATATATTCGTAAGGGTCAGTCCTCTACTATCAAATGATGCCAAGTTTATTTCTTTCAAGGATAATTGCCTTCTTTATCTAGTCAAACTGCCAGTTTTATTGGAAAAAAGCAAGTTATATATTCACAAAACTGAAGACTTTCTGCCTAAAAAATTAAAAGCAGTTTATGAACATAAATTATTTCATCTGTGGTTCTGGTGTTCCCATTGCCTTTGGGCAGTCTTGACTACCAATGTGGTCTAAATGTAATGGTTGTGCTGGGTGAGCCTTTCCATCAACTTCTCAAAGTCCAATTATTCCAGGCCTCTATAGTTGTGGTACCAGGTCCCTGAAGTCTTCTGCCCTTCACCAGTTGCTGCCAATTGCTGGGTCTTCTTCCACAAATAGTCCAGTCTTTCACAGTGAAAGAAGGAACTAAAGTATCAGGACTCCTTGCATACTTTCTCTTAGTTTATAATATAAAATAATACCCAAAGTAATAGAATTACCTTTAAACAATTGCAAGTACATACTTGAAAGTATGAATATACTACCATGTGCTTTTGTATCTTCCCTTTCAAGTGATGATATTGAATTAAGGTAAGTTTTTTTTGTCCTTGCTCTTTATGAATCATTTCAGTTCCTGGTTTATAGATATATCTCTAAGTACATTGGCCCCTTGACTTAGGGCTGGAGGAGTGGCTCAAGTGTTAGAGCACCTGCCTAACAAGCGTGAGGCCCTAAGTGTAAACCCCATTGCTGCCAAAAAAAAATATGAGATGGACCCTTGACTTTTAACAGATTTGATATGGATGAATTTATTCACAAGAAACTCCAGAAGTCTAAAGATGTAATAATTTTTTGGCAAGGCCCAAAGTGGAGATGATGTGAGGCGGGTGTGTGGGAAGTCACTTTGAATGTTTGGAGGGAGGATGTGGTGTGTACATGATAAAGTTTGCACATGTCACTGTCCACTTAACTGTGCCCTGAACTCTCAACATTGAAAAGATTGAACAGGAGGTTAGTTAGTGCAAAAGCTTCAAGAGAAGGCAAAATGTGTTTGGTAGGAAAGAAACTAGGGTAGGCCCAGCCTAGGACAAGAGATGGCAGAAAAGCATTCAAGATGTGGGGGCTTAATCACCATGGAGTCCAGCAGTACACATCCCAATATGACTTTTAGTCTCTACTCTCTGCCCTTTAGATATGACCTAAATTTTTTCAGCTTGCTTCATTTTGTAGAATAAAATTATCTTACGGTGGTATTAAGCATTTGAGACTTACAAGGGTTTTAGGACTGATAGCTCAGGAATGTAAGGTCAAAAAAAGTCTTTTCTATGATTCACAAATATGATGGATTTCATGGCTGATCTTGGTGCTTAATCCAGGAGGCTCCAGTCTAGTGCTAGAGATCTGTCCCTCTGAAAAGTCCAACTCCCTATGACTAAACTGGATATATGCTTTGAGCCTTATTTAATTCACAGATAAGTTGACTTAACTTAGTATTTTTATTTCAATTAATGAAAGCAGTCCTCTTTTCAACCCCAGGTTGCTTACATTTTGCTGGTCTCCCCCAAGTGACCATTGGTGGAGACCAAATAATGAAGGAATGAATTCACTTTCTTGAGACTGTTATTCTACAGAGCCACACTTAACCACTTTTTCCAGTGAAGAAACTACACAGTGATAATACCCAAGTATGGATGGCCAAGAAGAGTTTGTATCTACAGTGTGTTTTGTGTATTTTTGACACTGCTGTATTCTGTGTGATCAAGTGATTTGTAACTGGTTCCAATGTGACTGAGTGTTCTCAATTATAGTAACTAAGTCAACTTAATTTTCTTAAGCCTGGTATTACTACTATTGGTCTCACATTTACCACTTTGATTCCAGTCTTTTAACTGTTCATAACAGGGCATACCAAGGGTTGGGATGAGAGCTTACTTCCTACCTCTTGAGGCACTTTCCTCATTATTTTGCCATATAACCTTGAACTGCATGATAAGCTGTTTAAATGTCCATGACTTATCCCAGAACAACTAGCAAAGTATGTGATATTTTGAATAGAGATTAGTGGAAAGGAATATTTAGAGACTTAAGTTAAGAGGTATAAACCTCAAGAAAATGTCTTTAGAGCACATGCCATTCGAGTACAGTATATGTAAATGTACATGAGAGGTCACTATAATAGTTATCTCTAAGTAGCTTAGTTCAATATCTAATGGAAGTGAACACCTTTACTCCTATTATCACTATAGTACTGAATGAACTGTATACTGGGGTTTTCAAACAAGTATTTAAAATAGAACTTTTAAATTCAAAGCAAGGGCATAAGGATAAAGATTTTGGTTTGTGTTTCTGTAAGTGTAGTATACCATCTAAAGCTTTGGGTTTTTTAATTTAAAAAAGACTTCAAGGTATTGCCATTTGTTAGTATTCTTAATGATTATTGGTGATGACTTTGTAACACTTAAAATTATATACATGTATTAGTTTATCTTAATTCTTGCCCTAAATAAAAGGGAAGGTAGACACCTAAGGGATGTAATTATTTTGCATTTTGGCCATGAGTGGGAATGGGGTGGGTATCTACTTAAAGCAGTTTTTTTTTTAAAAATCACAAATATTTTTCTACTATTATATATGATCTTACTTTATATTAGTTTCTCTAATAAGGCATGCCAGAAGCCCAAGGTACCATATCACGAGTTCTTATGTATTGTACCTTTTATTGGTGGTTAAATCGCATCAGATGCTTGGCACTGCCGCCACAATTATGAAAATGCTTGTAAAGGATCAAATTATCACTGAATACTTTAAATTGTTTTACTTAAGAGTCTAATCTGGGAAGTTTGCAAATCATACTATTAATGTGTAATCTAAGCTCTTTCAGATGTATCCATGAATAATCCTGGAACAATATTGCTTGTATTCCTGTCATAGAACAGGTTTTGTAATCTTTAAAAGAAATGAAAATTTATATAATAAAGTTTCAAATAAACGCATATGCGTCCCTTTCATTAGATTATTTTGATCTGTGATGATTCTATCCAAAGCATATTTGTGGAAATCATACTGATAGGATTTAAAACAGGAATATTTCTGACTTAATATGAAATGTAAGATATTTTTCTGTGTATCTTGCAGAAAGGATTTGTCTAATCAGACTCACATAAGTTATACAATCTTACCCAGTTTCAAACTTGTTTAATAATTGAAAATTTACAAGTTGATCACCAGACACAGATGGAACATTCTTTTCTTGGAGAAGTCTGAAACTACCAGACTCATCTACCAAAATGCCCCCTTCTCCCTCATTACAGTGTATTTTGGATTCCAAATTAAAGGGCAAGTTTCCTTCTGAGGTGTTATGTATGCAGAGATATTGTTCAAATAAAGAGGGTCATTTGGTTTTGCATCTTCCCCCTTTTATTATTCATTAGTTACACAATTTAAATGATGAGCTCTATTCTCCAGCAGCTATGCTGGAAATTTAAGGTCATTGATTGCTAGTCATTGTTAGAGAAGGAATATATTATAGGATTGAAGTTAGCCCTCCTCAAACGTGGATCCTCCTAATCCCTGTTTCCTGAGTAGCTGGAATTATATGCACCACCATGCCCATCTGGCTCACCGTAAAGACCTTACCTTCAAATACTGGCATTACCCAACTGGAGGTCAGGACTTCAACATAGGAGTTTAGGAAAGACAATACAGGCAATAAGAGCTGGTTTGGAGACTGTCTACTTGGATTAGTTGGTGTGTTCTGAATACAATGGTGAGGACCTATGGAGTGGCTCAAGTGGTACAGCACCTTCCTAGCAAATGTGAGGCCCTGAATTCAAATTCCAGTGGCACAAAAGAAAAAACAATGAGGAAAGCCCAGCACAATAGCTTACATCTGTAATCTCAGCTACTTAGAAGTTGGAAATGGAAGGATCATGGTTCCAGGTCAACCCAGGCAAAAAGTTAGCAGGCAGGATCCTATCTCAATAAAAAGCTGAGTGCAGTGGTACATACCTGTGGTCCCCAGCTACATGGGAGGCTGGAGGTTGAAGGACCATGGTCTTGTTACCAGGCTAAGTGGTCTAAAAAGACGCTAACCTAAAAGATCCCAAGGTCTTGTGTCACCTGAACAGAAAACTGAAGAGAGACACAAATTGCAAAACCTTATTGAAAGAAAGAGTAAGAGAAAACACCACAGAAGAAAAAGTGGCGGGCCCTCGCCAGGTGGCACAGAAGCATTGATTTTTTTAAGCCCAATTTACAAATTGTAAAGTGGGAAAAATCTGAGCAGAGCTTAGGGAGGGGCTGGGGTGGCTAGCAGGTTTACTTAACACAGCCTTATCACATAACAAAGAGTATTCTGCACATGTGCTTATGCTAATTTTTAGGTCTTTAATTGTATGTATGAGATGTGGCCAATATTCATGAGGTCTTAAGTAAGAGGACTTGGCCTGGGAAGCTCAATTAGGGTCAAGCCTTTTTTAACAAGCAAGGAAGACTCAAAGGCACCTCTTCTGGACACTATCTTGCAATGATACTTAACAACCACCAGGATATTTTCAACTTAAAGAGGATTTATTGTTCTAGAGATGGTTCGGGGCTGTGCTGGGTGCCTGTTAGCTTTGTTTGCTTAAGAGAAGAGAGCCCCTGGTAAATTATTTTCCCTGCCTGCTAACCTACCTCAGTATGAGGCTAGCCCAATGCAAAAACGTGAGACCCTACCTGAAAAATGCTATAAAGAAAAAAGTGCTGGTGGAGTGGCTCAAGTGGGAGACTACCTGCCTAGCAAGTGTGAGGCCTTGAGTTCAAGACCTAGTACCATCAAAAGGAAAAAAAGAATAGGATGGCAAGTGTTGAGGTCTTCTTGGCATTATACTGAAACAATGTAAGAATGTATTTGTTTTATATCATCTTTGTAACAAAATTACTTTAAATTTCCTGGCTTAAAACATTGAAAACTTAGTACTGCATGCCTGTAGTCCCAGCATTCAGCAGGCCAAGGCAGGAGGATCACGAGTTTTTGGCTAGCCTGGGCTACATCGCAAGACCCTGTCAAAGGAGGAACAGAGGACGGGAAGGATGGAGGTTAGAAGTCTTTCTTGCCTTTTCCAGTTTTCTAGAGTAATTGACTCACAGCCCCTTTCCTCCATCTTCAAAAGTAATAATAAGGCTGGGGATGTAGCTCAGTGGTAGAGCAATTCACTAGCATGCAGGAGGTGCTGGGTTTAATCCCCAGTATTACAAGAATAAAATGAAAAACAAAACAGCCACAGTGATCTAGTCCTCCTCATGTATCTCTGACCCCTCTCTTTTGTCTCTTCCGCTTCTTTAAGGACTCTCATGATGAGATTTGGTCTACCCAGGCTATCCCATTTTTTTAAATACTCTTACTGAGATATAATTCACATACCATAAACTCCATCTATTTAAAGTCTATAGTGCACTGCTTTTCATACATGTACAGTTGTGATCATTATCATAATCTAATTTTAAAACATAATCATCTCCAAAAGAAACCTTGTATCCTATTCCAAGCCACCATTGTCTTTTGCTTAGACAATTGTAATCAACTGGTGATCTCTGTGTCTACCTTTGCTCACTACAGTCTATTAACATACAAGTCAAAATGATCTGTTTAAAACCTACCAAGGAGCTGGGTGCTGGTAGCTCATGCCTGTAATCCTATCTACTCAGAAAGCAGAGATTCCAAGCCAGCATAGTGAAACTCTGTCTTAAAAAAAAAAAGTATAATCTGCAAATTATCGCAGATGGAAAGAGAAACCCAGAACTTTGAGTCCCCATCACCTTTCTATTGCCTTCTGAGAAGTGCATCTGTTGTTAAAGTTTCTCAGACTCAGCTCTATTGAAATTGGGGGGGGGGCAGAGATAATCCTTTGCTGGGGTCTAGGTTGTATTGTGGTCTGTAGGATTTTAACAGCACCTCTGGCCTCTACCCATGAGATGCAAGCATCACTGCCTTCCTCTCCAACTTGTGACAACCAGAAATGTCTCCAGGCATTCCCTCATACCCCCAATAGAGAACAACTGTGTTAGGTGATTATACTTTTATTTCTCCGTCATTTATGTCCATTTCCGTAGGGAGACAATGTTAAACATCTAATGTTTACGAAATGTAACATTTCAAATAAGTTTATCTTGTAGCAAAGGTATTTTTTCCACCACAGCCAGCTGGATTTTTTTTGGTAGTTCATCCCACGGACTGGGTGGCTTAAATAACTTTCTGTCAGCTCTGAAGGCCAGAAATCTGAGCTCAAGGTGTGGGCTGAGTTATTTTCTTCTTTGGCCTCTCTCTGTGGCTTGAAGATGACCAAGTTCCTGTTCACATGGTGTTCTCCCTTTATGTCTGTGTCCTAATACCTTTTTTTTATAAGGACACCAGTCAGACTGGGTTAGAGCCCGGCATAAGGACCCCATTTCAAAAATCACGGTCCAAATACGGTCATAAGCTGAGTTACTGAGGGTTAGAACTTCAACTTAAGACTTTTAGGAGGACACAATTCAGGCCCTAACACCGAACTTTTTTCTGCCCTTCCTTTTTCTTTTTTTTTTTTTTGGTTGTATGTATTGACCACCTATTATGTGCCAGACATTCTGCTAAGTGCTGGTAGAAGCAACAGATGTACTCTCTGCCTGCTAAGATTTACAGTGAGGTAGGGAAGACAGATTGTTTTTTAAAGTATCGTCTAAATATTCAGCTTTGGTAATGGATGACAGGAAGACCTTCCCCTTCCTACAGGCCCCCAGCCTGGCTGGGCGGGTGAAAAGGCCACGTTTAAACTCAGCTAACTCCGGGGTTAATGAGTCAGCAACTTGTGAAACCGGGAGCCTCACGGATTGGCTACTGAGCAGCTGACACTGCCCTCCGCCCTCCGCTCTCCGCTCCTCCGCCGTCCACTGTGACGCGGAACTCCGCCCACTTCCCTCCGCGACTCCTCCTCCCAGCTCTGGGCTCTCGGCCCCGCCCTCTGGGCGCTTTCCCGCGACCTGGAACGCCCGCCCTCTCCTCCCTGCTCCTCTCCCTCGGCTCTAACAATAAGGTTCCATCACGCCGCAGGGCCGGAGGAGGGCGGACCCAGCCCGCGGTGAGAGGAGGAGAAAAGCAAGGCAAGCAGCAGCGACGCCATTTGCTGCTGTGGAGCGTGGGCGCGGGCGGATCTCGGAAGAACCGGGTCGCGAGATACTCGTGCACGCTGCTCGGCCTCGACGCTCTCTTCAGCTCGCGTGCCCCATAGTGTCGCCCCTGTAGTCCCTCAGAGGAATCATCTCCCCCCCCGCCGCAGCCACCCGGAAAGAAGTCGGAGACACCGCAAGGCCGCCGTCACCACCATGCCCAAGAATAAAGGTAGTACTGCCCGGACCTCCGGACCAAGCCTTTGCTTGCCCGGTTTCCCATGCTCCACCAGCGGCTTCTGGGTCACCCAGGCCACAGTGACTTTCCTGCCTTCTATCCCCGCCTGCCTGTGGCGGGAGGCGGGTAGCGGGGGGTTCAGCATGCGGGTCTGAGCTCGGGAGAGGTACAAGGAAGTTACTCCGGTTTTCCCGTTTGGTCACGTTGGGGTGGAGCCGACGCCATTTTTGTGGGGCCTCCTGTGGGAGAATGTGAATTTTTTGCTACTGCTTCGCGCCACACTGACCGCGGTGTGGTAGGGACAGATGGAGAGACCTCCCTCGGGGCCTAGTGGCCCCTTTGGCCTTTCCTAGCCTGGGGAGTTAAACCATGGGAGCGACTCTGAAGTTCAAAAGCAAAGCTTGATTGATGCCTGCTTTCGTGCCCATCTGGCACTCCCTCATGGGGTTCTTCTTGGACAGTTGTTGGGTATTGTTTAGACTACTCTCTCTCCCTTAAAAGCAGCGGGTGATACCTTGATGGATTTCATCTCTAGAGATTCACTTTGCTCCATCTCTTTACAGGGTTTAATTTATTTTTTTTTCTCAGAAGACTTGATCCTTATTTAGCCAAGTTCGATACTTTTTCTTGAGATCATGTCTGTATTGTGATGGGAATAGAGACCTTTATGTTCTCTTAATTGTAGGGCTAAACGTTCACAAATTATCAAACTTGAGGGTAAGTTTATTTAGGATTTCCAAAATGGAAGGTATAATGTAAGTAAAAGAACACACCCAAGGAAATTTTTTTTTATAGACTTCGTGTTTCTGTGATTTTTATTAGCCTTAGAATTTCTCAAAGTTGGGTAAGTAGAAATCGGGTGAACTCTGTATTTTTTGTACAGGAGAGAGGAGCATATTACACACCTATAAGAAATCTCCTTTGATTATTCATCCTTAAGGCATTCTCCCAGACCCAGACTTACTACTGTTCTCTTTACTACTTGATATTCGGCTGTATTTACTCGTTGTAGCTGTCGCTACTCACAGGGTATTTGGTACCAGGGTACACAATTTGGTGAAGTCCTCCCAGGGCACTCCACTTTACTGCCCTCAGAAACGAAGCTTGCAAGGATTTTTGCTAATTTTGGGAAAGGTGGGCCATAGTATTTTAACAGTCTTAAATTTTTTTTTAGCTGTAGAATCCTTTATTCTGAGATGGAGCTGGATCACTTCAATAAGTATCTTGTTCTTACCTTTATTTCTAGTTATGAGATTTCCAATCCCCTGACTGGGCTGTAAACTCTGAAGGACAGGAATAGTATCTGTCTTAATCACAATGGATTGCTAGCACTTGGCACTTAAAAGATGCTCAATAAATATCTGTTGGCCTAAGTCACCTCCCTTCTCTTGACTCCACTCCTAGGTGAATAATAGGTTCCCCTGTGGTTCTAAGGATACAGCACTTCTGCACTAAATCCTATCTAGTTCACTAGTCTTGTTAAGAAAGAGCCAGTCTGAAAAATTTCTCCCAAACACCTCTCTTTGGTTTAAAGAAGGTATTTGAGAATTTTGATTTGGTTTAGAGACTGGCTATTCTTTCAGAAAGAAAAGGGGGTTAAAAAGTTACTATGTTTATTCTACTTTGTCCTACACTTAGGCCTGATCTCATTCTGTTTAAAGAGAATTTTGAAAGGACATTTTGTAGCAATAAAATAGAAAAGGGAATAATCAAGGTATGGTTAATTTTGCCAAGTTGACAAGAATTGAATCTTTTTTTATAAATAACGTGAGGCATACAAAAAATATATGTGATAGTGGCATGTGTAATGATAGAGGTACTTTTCTGTCTAGGAAATTAACTTTCTTATGCTGTAAGAATGCGTCAAATACTAAGGACTCAGGTGGATCAGGAAATTTTACAGAGGCCCACCTAACAGCAGCAGAGCAAAGTGAGACAGCCCCAGGAGAGTAAGTGAACTGATTCAAGAAGTTGGCTGATGGAGTGGCTCAAGCAGTAGAGTGTCTGCCTATCAGGCATGAGGTCCTGAGTTCAAACTCCAGTGCTGCCAAAAACAAAGAGTCTGTCGTTGCAGGGAGTGATTCCATTTGAATTGTGAACTTTTTGTTACTTGTAAGTTCTTCCCATGAGTTTCTTAGCATCACTACCACTTGAGACTTTCTCCTACCTTTTGGCTGCCAATGTGGTTAGGTTTTGGAATGGGAAGAAAATGCTGTGGTTAAGTAATCTAATGTGGGAGCTAGTATTAAGTATGACTGTGGACGCCCCTGCTCACTGATTATGATCTTAGGTGAGTTCTCTGAGCTTCAGTGAATTTATTAGTAAACTGGAAGTGAGTGCTTGTTACCTACTTCATAAGATAATTGTAACATGTAAATTTGTGGCATTATTGCACAGTGAGTTAAGAGTATGGTTACTAAAGTCATATAACAAACAAGGATGCTAAGGACCAGTTTTTTGTAAAAGCAGGTAAATTGACTTTTAAATAAAATTGAGCTTGATGACATGCTCATTCACTGGAGACGTTGAGCCATTAGAAATATGAGACCAATACTAAGTGAAATCATGCAGGAAGATGTAAAATTACTAACATGGAAGTGATAGGAAAAAAATTAACACAAAATGGTGAGCAGAAAGTGGGTTAAAGTATGAAGAACAAAGGCGGGGGGCAGGGAGAGAAATACAGATTTAAAGGACACCAATGAGAAAGAATTCTAGGGACTGGAGTGTGTGACTCAAAAGTGGTAAAGCACTTATCTAGTGAGAGGCCCTCTCAGTTCAAACCTCAGTGCAGCCCAAATGGCAGAAATAGAGGTATTTGGATCTTCTGTTCTTACACCCTCATTTTAGAGGCTAGAACTGATAATCCAGGTGGGCTTGTAGGAAAAACCCAGGCATCCTTCTACTCTTCCTCTTCACATCTGTCAAATTCTCTTGTTTTCCTCTTACTAGTCTCTTGTTCATGTGCTCTTGGCTAGGCATGCTTTGTTCCACCTGCAGTAAAGACCGTCCATGTTAACAGTTTTTCCATTCAGAGAATTATGTCACATCTCTGCCTTTTTTAAAAGAAGAATATTTATCTAATATTTGGTGGTACTGGAGTTTGAACTTGGGGCATTGAGCTTACTAGGCAAGTGCCCTACCTCTTGAGCCAGACCCTTAGCCTTTAAAGAAATTTTTCTCATTTATTTAGGTAGTAGTGGGGCTTGAACTCAGGACCCCACATTTGCTAGGCAGGCACTCTACCACTTGAGCTGTTCCACCAGCCCACTTTTGTGGTGAGTATTATCAAGATTGGGTCTTGCTGGCTTTGAACTGCAATCCTCCTGAGCTCTGCCTCCTGAGTAGCTGAGATTACAGGTGTGAGCCACCAAAACTTTGGGTAATAAATATATCCATCTGAATCAAACTTAAGAGTATAAGAGGTGAAATCTTAGTTCTTCTCACAAGTGGGCACTGTTAATCTTTTGTAACTGTCCTCCTGAGATAATGTACATAGTAACAAAAACCAATACTTCCTTTTTTATACCTCTGGTAGTTGATTTTTTTGGTTTGGGTCTTTTTTTTTTTTTTTTGGTGGGATTAGGGTTTGAACTCAGCTTCATGCTTGTGAAGGAGAGTGCTGCTGCTTTGATTATTTTGGAGAAGGGGGTCTCTGGCTGGCCTCGAACCTCAATCTTAGGATTTCAGCCTCCAAAGTATGTTAGGATTATGGATGTGAGCCAGCCTTGCTTTTTTAACTTCAAACATGTAGTGTATATATAAATTTCAGACTCTTGTGTTGCTAGAATTGTGCTTCCCTATACTACCACAAAATCCATACTCCGTTCCTCAGTAGTTATAACTTCCCTCTGTCCCCCTACCATCTCCTACTTGCACTCCTTTCATGAGGGGTCAGGTGTAAGAGGCCATTTTTAGAAAACTCATCAAGACCCAGTGTAGTTTACATTCTGGAATGGGAACAAAATGCTCAGGACAGGTACTCAATGTGGAAACTAGAAGCAAAAAAGGATTAAGGGTGAATCTGGGTACCCTCACTCATTGAATACAATCTTACATGAGTCAAATTATTAAACTTTTCTGAGCTTTAGTGAACTTATTGATAAACTGGGAATAAATGGATAGTACTGTTGCATAGTAAAGAGCACAATCATTGTAGTCATAGAACAGAAATAAGGATGTCAGTTAAGGACCAGTTTTGTAAAAGAAAGTAAATTGAGGGATTTTTTTTTTTTTTGTATTTCACTTTATTTAAAGTTTAGAAAGAGTTGTCTAGCATATGCAGAATTGATCCCTAAGAAAGTAAATTGAGTTTTGGATAGAGAATCAAAATATCTACTATTAGAAAAATCCTCCAAGGAAATTCCAGGCAATGTGAGGAGGGTGGTATGGTAATATGATTAACTAAATTAGATGATTTTTTTAATTTCAGTGATTTTTTTTTTAAAATAGCTTCATAAGCTTTAGTTTAGTGTAGTTTCTTCATGTAGTGTTTTGCAGATAACTGAAGTCTTTCTTTTTTAAAAAACCATTAGGTAAAGGAGGTAAAAATAGACGTAGAGGTAAGAATGAAAATGAATCTGAGAAAAGAGAGCTGGTGTTCAAGGAGGATGGGCAAGGTAAGCCATTTTATAAGTTGGGGTATTTAGTAATTTGGTTGTTGTTTGTTACTGGGGATGGAACGCAGGGCTTTGTGTATGCTAAGCAAGCACAGACAGCGCTGAACTACTTCACAAGCACTTGTGATTTTTTTGAGGCAGGTTGTCACTGTAGTTCATGCTTGTTTTGAATTCTTGGTAGCCCAGGTTTCCTCTGCCACCCAAGTACTTTACAGCTTTCTTTTCAGTGTATTTCCTGAACTATGCAGTCTGCATTGAGGATCCAAGACATTTCTGTAAACATACAGGCTTGCTTTCGTATGAATGCTTGTGTTGTCACTAAGAATGTAAGCGAAAGCTATGGTTGACAATTCATGATTTAATGGGCCTTTTTGACAGTAAATGGTGCTACATAGTATGTTCAGTAGACCATGGATATTTGAAAGATGAACCCTAGACTATTACAGGTTTTTTCATTCACTAGTACCATTAGCATATGATTTCATAGAACGCATAAAATAAAACTGAACTGAGCAATTGACTGACCTTTCTAGACCTAAACAATTTTTAATGCCAGACCAAGATACATAACACTAATAAAACAAATTCTGACTGAATCACTTGCTTTTTTTCCCCATTTATTTGGCAGTACTGGGATTTCAACTCAGGGCCTCATGCTTTCTAGGCAAGTGCTCTACCACTTGAGCCACTCCACTAGCCCTTTTTGGTGTTGGGTATATTCGAGATAGATTCTTGCAAACTATTTGCTTGGGCTGGCCTCAAACCTTAATCCTCCTGACCTCTGCCTCCTGAGTAGATATTTTCCCCTTTTTTTTGAGACAGGGTTCTACTGTGTAGCTCAGGGTGGCCTTGAACTTGCCATCCTACCTCATGATGCCTCCAGGGTACTAGAATTATAGGTAGGTGCCACCCTGCCCAGCTTCCCATATTTTTATTTTGAGTAATTTCAAACATACAGAAAAGTTGCAGTGTGATAATTCCTTCATGCACACACACGTGTGTATAGAAACCTGATTTTTCTGAACCATTTGAAATTTAGTTGAAGACACGCTGTTGTCTAGCAGATAGTCTATATTCAAATTTCTCTAGTTGTCCCAATAGTTTCTAGCACTTTTTTTGTGATTTTTTTTTTTTGAGATATTTGCCCAAGCTGGCTTCGAACTGAGATCCTTCTGATCTCTGCCTCCTAAGTAACTAGGGTTACTGGTGTGAGCCACTGGCACCCAGCTATCTAGCACTTTTGACAAAGAACTATTTTCTTTTTAATGGTACTGGGGATTGATCTCAGGGCCTTGAGCTTGCTAAGAAAGTGCTCTACCACTTGAGTCATGCCCCAGTCATTTTTGATTCTCTTTTTATAGAACTTTTGGTGAATATATTCATGTGAGGAACAATTTTGCTTTTTCTTCCCCCTTTATCATTTTGCCATGCTAGGGATCAAACCCAAGGTCTCATGCATGCTAGGTAAGCATCTCCAGCCCTTATGCAAATATGTAAGCTGCTAAAAATGAAACGTGTCTTTCTACATGTGAACTGTGCAGTTAAGCCTTTCAAAAATACGTCTGTGTGTTTACAAGTTATGGAGATCCTCTTTGGGGGTCATTCTTATAAGTAAACTAAAGGGTCTAAGTGATGTATGTGCCCCTGAGTACTGCTTTCACCCTCAGGTCTCAAAATCTCCTTCTCAGAGTATTGGCAGTGAAATTGGGTAGCTTCCTCCCTGCCATTTTTAAAAAGTCATGCCTGCAATCCTAGCAACTCAGGAGGCAGAGATCAGGAGGATGGCGGTTCAAAGCCAGCCCAGGCAAATAGTTCCGGGAGACCCTATCTCATAAAAAACCCATTAAAAAAAGGTCCGGTGTTGTGGCTCAAGGTGTAGAATCCAAACTCAAGTCCCAGTTCCACAAAAAAAAATTGACATTTTACTTGGGAACATCTTTCTGGCTTTCTAAGAACTCTAGAATATCAGGATATTCTAACTTAACAAAGACATCATTAACATTTAAATTACTTGTACTAAAAATTCCACAAGATTTGCCTTTAAGTTCTGAGGGAGAGGAGAGCAAAATTTGGTAAGGATTTGAACTTGAGAGATTGATGAGGTATAGTGTACATTTTGGAACAAGCCACCTTTGATCTCCAAAAATGGAGCAGATAGTCATGAAGACAGTAATCAGTCTGCTTACTCAAAATGAGTACATAATTAAAGCATGTTTAATAGCAGACACAGGTTGTTATAGAAATGGCATTACAGAGTCTTGGTTCTGCCTTGACCATTAACTAGCTTGGTGTTTAATTCCCTTGTATTTATTTATACTTCATGTATTTATTCTCAGCCAGTACAACTTTGTTCTTATCAATTTTGTGTGGGCTTTTAAAGTTGCTTTTATCAAAAATTGGGCAATATTTTATACCCTCTTCTTCCCCCTCCCTCCTCCAGAATATGCTCAGGTAATCAAAATGTTGGGGAATGGCCGATTAGAAGCAATGTGTTTCGATGGTGTAAAGAGGTTATGTCACATCAGAGGGAAATTGAGAAAAAAGGTAAGTGTGGGGATTTGTATTTATTTTATTCTGTATAAAATTAGCTGGAGCTGGGAGGGCGGGTGCCTCTACAGGAGGGTGTATATGGTGCTAGGGTGAAGCTCATGGCCTCTCAGTGGTAAGCATACCATGGACTATGTCATTCCCAGCCCCCCTCCACAGGTTTTGTTTTGTTTTTTCACTGTACCTTGGTTTGAACTCAGGGCCTCACGCTTGGTAGGCAGGCACTGTACCACTTGAGCCACTCCACCAGCCCTTTTTGTGTTGGACATTTTTGAGGTAGGGTCTAGCTTTTTGCCCAGGCTGGCCTTGAACTGCCATCCTCCTGATCTCTGCCTCCTGAGTAGGTAGGATTGTAGGTGTGAGCCACTGGCACTTGGTTCCTGTGCAGTTTTTATGGGGCCAAGAATTTACCTGTGAAGTGAAGCAGCAAGACCTTAATAGTAAACTTACATAGATTTCATCAGTTATAGAATTGTTTATATTACTATATATACATGAAAATATAACATTGAAACCTGTTAAAATTGTTTTTAAAGGGGGCAGGGGGAATGAGAGGGGGTGAATTTAATTGGGGTATGTTGTATGTGTATATGTTATGGGAAATACCACAATGAAACCCCTTTGTACAACTAATATATCCTGTTTTAAGTCTTAAGGAAACTTAAAGGGGCTGGTAGGTGACCCTTGTTTGGGTTCTGGGTTGGGGATTGGAAGGATATCTATAAAGGGAAAGGTATTAAGTACATTTGAATATGAATCAAATTGGTTAAAAGTCTCAACTCTGGGGCTGGAGGTATAGCTCTATGACAGAGCCTATTTAGCATGTCCATAAATGAATAAGTAAATAAACAAGCAGACAAATAAAATGTCCCAACTCTGATTTTATAATGCCTTTTTAAATTCTGTAATGTTAATCCTTCTGTTCTCAAAATAAAGGGGTCTTTGAAGCCGTGTATATGTGAGTGAGTACAAAACAGGAAGAGAGAGGAGATACAGCCATAATTTTCTATTCCTATATAATAACCACATAGAGTGGTTTGCCATCTCTATCTCTTAATTTCTACATTACTTATTTTTTTTATTTTGGCAGTACTTGAACTCAGATACCACCTAAACCAAGTCCTCAGCCCTCAAATCTCTTAGTTTCTACACAAATCATTATTTCTCTGGAATTTCTTGATTCTTCATTTTTATTTTAAATACAATATGCAGTGGCTTTTGTTTTGTAGGTTTGGATAAATACATCTGATATCATATTGGTTGGTCTCCGAGACTATCAGGTAAAAATTGCATGGGAATTTTTTGTTATTTACTTGCTTAAATTTGATGAGCCTGTTTTTTGGCAGTTGAAAAAGTCAGTACTGTTCTGGAAGCTTGAGGCTCTGGAGGTCTTAGCAGGGCAGGTCTGCCCCTCTTCACCACCACTGGCTTTTAGCTGCTCACAGGATGGTGCTGGCTCTGCAGATGGCAGTCATGCGCAGATCTAGGTGATACTTGTCCTTGCGGATCTTGTGCATGATGCTGCTGATGGTGGCCCGAGCATTGTGGTGGTCTGCATGTAGGAGGTGGCTGGCTTTGGTTGGCTGGATCTCTGCTTCATGACCACCATGACACCTTTGCCGGTGGCGGGCTGCACACCCACGTTCTTGTGGTCAGCCATTTGTAGTGGAAGGAGTTGCAGAACAGGTTATTGACTTGCTTATTCTTCTTGATGAGGAAGCTAGAGCAATTCCGCATGACCATCCATTGTATATGCGTGGACGTGGCGGCGTGATGAGCCATTTCTTAAGAGACAGTTTTAGGCATTGTGCTAGGTATTGAAGGGATTATGGTTTCCAGATGCCAGTCCATGTAGTCAGCATGTAAAGTTTTTCTAAAGCAAAATGACCCCTCTTTAAGTATTTTCAAAGTCCTACCTTTTTTCGAATGAGAGATATTATATAATGATTTTACTCTTTTTTTAGCTGGCAAAAGAAAAATATAGCCTTATATTAGACCCCTTCTCCCCCTTTTTTTAAATTTATGGGTCTTTAAAAGTCTGGGAACCATTATTGTAAGAGATAAAGCTGAATGAGTCAAGCTTCCATCCCACAAATGGCATATAGCCTGGTATGGAAGACAGTAATATGGGCATAGGAGCTATTATGAGATGTACACGCTGTGACAGAAGTATGTGCTCTAAATTTAGATGATCACATGGGAAACAGAATGGGAGTTGCCCTTCGTGATCACAGCCTTGACTATATACCCATCAAGGGTCTAGGGGACCCATTTGATTTCTAACTATTGGAACCCATCCCCATTTGCTAATGTCTCTTTTTGTAGCTTTGATTATATTTTGATTTTTTAAAAATAGTAATGCAGAATAAAAAGTTAAAATCTTCAATTTTTTTTGGTGGTGCTTTAGTTTGAACTTGAGGGCTCATGCTTGCTAGGCAGGTGCTATAACACTTGAGCCATACTGCCAGCCCTTTTTTGTGTTGGGTATTTTCAAGGCAGGGTCTCTTGAGTTATTTGCCTAGGCTGGCTTTGAATCTCAATCCTCTTGATCTCTGCCTCCCAAAATTTTAACTTAAAATCATTAGGTTCTCAGCCATGGTAGTCTTGCTTTATCGGGGGCAATGGCAGTGTCTGGAAACTTGTCACAACTGGGGATTGGGCTTGCTGGCATGTAGAGTAGGTGGAGGCCACCAGTGATGCATACCACAACAAACTATCTGACTGAAGCCAGGTGCCAGTGGCTCATGCCTGTAATCCTAGTTACTTGAGAAACTGAGGGTCACAGTTTGAGGACAGCTAGGGCAAATAGTTGGCAAGACTCCATCTCCAAAATAACCAGAGTAAAATGGACTGGAGGTGTGGCTCAAGCGGTAGAGCACTTGATTTGTAAACATATAGTCCTGAGTTCAAACTTTGGTCCCACCAAAAAAAAAAATACGTGTGTGTGTGTGTGTGTGTGTGTGTGTGTATCCAACTGAAAATAATCATTAGTGCTTTTGTTGAAAAAACCTGCTTTAAATTCACAAACCATTTTTATATCCATTTTCTCCTTTTGATCTTAATAGTGTCCCCAGGAGTAGGAAAAATAATTAATTCCCTATTAAACAGAAAGGACACTAGGGTTCCAAAAGAAGTAACATTCTGACTGTAATCTCCCATGATCCTTCTTCTATCCATCTGCCACCTACAGGGTGGTGCAGAGATCAGTAGCATCAGTTTTCTGGGAGCATGGTAGAAATCCAGGTTCTTGAACCCTGCCTCAGACCTACTCAATCTGTTATGCATCTTAAGGTCCCCATGGGTTTCTGAAACTGAAAAGTGCTGGTTTGAATGACAATGCTCTCGCTCTCTTAACTGAGTCCAGTTCTATTCATATGGGAAAGTGTAAATATTTTAAGGCAGTATTTCTCCCAGACACTACATCAGAAGCATCAAAAATTCTTTTAGACATACAAATTGATGGACTTCACAGCTATGAATCCCTCTCTTCAAGAAATGGAAAACTCTAGGAGACTGATTGATACATGCCCTAAGTAGCACAGATATAAGAAAAGGTATATTTAATTTCCTTGGGTCTTGAATCGCAGTGTTTGATCACTCTGCAAATTTTGGTCCATGGGAACTTGTGTCTTTAAAAAGACTTCTTACTGAAGGGTGATAGTAAATAATCTAAAAGATTCTGTTCTTATTAAAGTAAAATCTGTACAGTTGTTTCCTAAACTTGTTAACCCTTATTCAATCATGCGTGTAAGCCTTTTCCTTCTGGGTTAAACTCAGGTATGTTTTTCCCAGGGTAGGAGAAAAGTTTAAAATTTAAAGTGAGATTTAATATTTTCATTCAATTTGAAAGTTATTTGTGAAATAAAAGTATTTTGATATAATCATTTCTAAAAGCTACTACTTGTTTCTATTTCAGGATAACAAAGCTGATGTAATTTTAAAATACAATGCAGATGAAGCGAGAAGTCTAAAGGCGTATGGCGAGCTTCCAGAACATGGTAATGACTGAGTTATACTGTCTTACGGTGTTTAGGTTATCTGTTGGTGTTTAGGTAGAGGAACTTTTGTAGAATTTTGTGGATTTTTCCTGTTCACTTTTGTGTTTACATGATTAGATTTAAGTATGCCTGCCTATATTTCGTAATACTACATATTATAAGAAAGAATTTGCTGGAATTCTGCTCTTGATAAATTAAGCTTTCAGGGAGGAGTTACACTTTAGTAGTCCTGTCAAAGGAATGATTTTATTTATTGTAGAATTTCTTTTTAAAATAAAAAGAGAGTGTTCAATATTAGAACACTTGCCTAACATGCCTAAGGCCCTGGGTTCCATCCCCAGCACTCCAGAAAGTGTTCATCTGATAAGTATGAAGTAAGGACAATAATTAGGTACTGTTGATTTTTATTAAAACATCAGTTTTTAATCCATTCTATCCTTGTATCTATCCTTGTATCAGTGTCCTGTAGAATTTTTTAAAGCCAGTATTTGTTGTCTCCCTCCCCAATACAAATGCAGATGACTTAAAAACTAAATCTTTCATAACCTAATCAAAAGAGAAAGTATGCTTTATATGCTGTTTTGTAAGCCAACATTTTTCACTAGGCAGTTATTTTTATTTTGGCTTCATTATATTTGATTATGATATCATGACATGTAATTATGAAAATCCTGCTAAAATTATTTACTTGACATTTGTGCTCCAGGAAATGCTGATTTAGCTGTAAATAGGACTAGAGTGTCCAGGTTCATTTTCATTGTTTAAGGATAAACATGATTTACCAAATCTTTCTGATTGATAAGTCTATCTGATAGTTAACCACCTGTTCTTATTTCAAGAAAATAAAGTCCTTAGTGTATGCTGTGCTCAAACCTCCTTTGAACTGTACCTGGAAATTATAAAAAACTTAAGAATTAATGAATTAGAATATGCCTTGCTAAAAATACCCTTGTGAACAAAAGAAAATTATAACAAGTACTCTTACCTTAACAAAGCAGTGACCTTGCAGGGAATTTTGTATAATCTTTTGCTCTGTATAGCAGGGTTGATAGGTGGATGTTTGGAAGGCTTATAATGAAAACATTGATTTAATTAAATTTCAAGGTTGGCTTGTGAGAGTCTCCTTTCATACTTCAAAGTTTTATATCAGACCCACTTTAGTGGGCCCTTACTTCTTTTACTAACATTTTCACTACATCAAGAGTGTATTTGTTATTGTGTCTTTAGCTAAAATCAATGAAACAGATACATTTGGTCCTGGAGATGATGATGAAATTCAGTTTGATGACATTGGAGATGATGATGAAGACATTGATGATGTAAGTAGATGCATCCTTGCATTTTCTGATTGCTGTTTGAGTTACAGAGAAGCCAGTCCTTTGTCCTAAGTTCCTTTAATGCTAGGGATGTGGAACACTTAAGGGTATTTTAGGGGCTCAAGTGGTAGATCGCCTGCCTAGCAAGTAGGAGGCCCTGAGCTCAAATTCAAGTACCACAAAAATATTTTTGGAGGGGGGAAAAAAGAAAATGGGTAACTTTTTGGAAAGAGGATCAGGGAGAGGTGGGAGGGGGAATAAGAGCGGAGTAGATCAAGTGATAGAGCTGCCTGCCTAGGAAGCATGAGGCTGTGCGCTCAAACTCCAGTACCAACAAATAAAAGAGAGAGAAAGGATAATAGGTGAATGAATATGAACAAAATATGTTAATCACGTATGAAATTACTGCAATGAAACCCACTATTTTGTGCAATTAAGAGTATATTTTGAGGTTTAGCCATGATTTATTTATTTTTTTTTTTTTTTTTTTTGGTGGTGCAAAATAGACTTTTATTTCTTAGAATTTCCTTTTCAGATACCATAAATCCAGTTAGAACTACAATGGATCTCACTCTGTTCTTTTTTTTTTCATTTTTCTTTTATTATTCATATGTGCATACAAGGCTTGGTTCATTTCTCCCCCCTGCCCCCACCCCCTCCCTTACCACCCACTCCACCCCCTCCCGCTCCCCCCCTCAATACCCCGCAGAAACTATTTTGCCCTTATCTAATTTTGTTGTAGAGAGAGTATAAGCAATAATAGGAAGGAACAAGGGGTTTTGCTGGTTGAGATAAGGATAGCTATACAGGGCATTGACTCACATTGATTTCCTGTGCGTGGGTGTTACCTTCTAGGTTGATTCTTTTTGATCTAACCTTTTCTCTAGTTCCTGGTCCCCTTTTCCTATTGGCCTCAGTTGCTTTAAGGTATCTGCTTTAGTTTCTCTGCATTAAGGGCAACAAATGCTAGCTAGTTTTTTAGGTGTCTTACCTATCCTCACCCCTCCCTTGTGTGCTCTCGCTTTTATCATGTGCTCATAGTCCAATCCCCTTGTTGTGTTTGCCCTTGATCTAATGTCCACATATGAGGGAGAACATACGATTTTTGGTCTTTTGGCCAGGCTAACCTCACTCAGAATGATGTTCTCCAATTCCATCCATTTACCAGCGAATGATAACATTTCGTTCTTCTTCATGGCTGCATAAAATTCCATTGTGTATAGATACCACATTTTCTTAATCCATTCGTCAGTGGTGGGGCATCTTGGCTGTTTCCATAACTTGGCTATTGTGAATAGTGCTGCAATAAACATGGGTGTGCAGGTGCCTCTGGAGTAACAGTCTTTTGGGTATATCCCCAAGAGTGGTATTGCTGGATCAAATGGTAGATCGATGTAGCTTTTTAAGTAGCCTCCAAATTTTTTTCCAGAGTGGTTGTACTAGTCTACATTCCCACCAACAGTGTAAGAGGGTTCCTTTTTCCCCGCATCCTCGCCAACACCTGTTGTTGGTGGTGTTGCTGATGATGGCTATTCTAACAGGGGTGAGGTGGAATCTTAGTGTGGTTTTAATTTGCATTTCCTTTATTGCTAGAGATGGTGAGCATTTTTTCATGTGTTTTTTGGCCATTTGAATTTCTTCTTTTGAGAAAGTTCTGTTTAGTTCACGTGCCCATTTCTTTATTGGTTCATTAGTTTTGGGAGAATTTAGTTTTTTAAGTTCCCTGTATATTCTGGTTATCAGTCCTTTGTCTGATGTATATTGGCAAATATTTTCTCCCACTCCGTGGGTGTTCTCTTCAGTTTAGAGACCATTTCTTTTGATGAACAGAAGCTTTTTAGTTTTATGAGGTCCCATTTATCTATGCTATCTCTTAGTTTTAGCCATGATTTAGAAGACAACCAGTCAAGCTATTATTTATGCTTTGGGAATTCTTAGAATCTGCTTCACATACTGGGCAAGGGGAGATGATTTTGTGGTGTTTGTTTTGGCAGTACTGGGGATTGAATTCACACTTGCTAGGCAGGCACTCTAGGCCCAGACTGGCCTTGAGCTCAGTGATCCTCCTGCCTAACCCTCTTGAGTGCTGGAATTACAGGCATACACAATCATGCTCAACTTTATTTTGGCAATATAGATTTTAGGTACTATAATCAATAAATTGTTTAATTAGGAATATTCTAAACTGGTGGCTCACTCTTATAATCCTGTCCACTTGGGAGGATCAAGGTTCAAGGCCAGCAGGAGGAAATAATTGTTTGAGAAACCCCATCTCCAAAATAACCAGAGCAAAAATGGGGTGTAGGTGTGGCTCAAACAGTAGAGTGCATGCTTTGCAAGTGTGAAGCCCTGAGTTCAAACTCCAGTCCCACCAAAAAAAAAAAGTAATGTAGGACTGACTGGCAGTGTAATTCAGTAGTAGAGTGCCTGCCTAGCATGTGCAAGGGCCCTGGGTTCCATCCTCTGCACCACAAAAAAAAAGAAAGAAATTTAGTAGAAAATGTGCCTTCTAAGTGAAGTATTGGTATGTTAAAGAATAGTTTTGTGGCTGGACATCGATGGCTTATGCCTGTAATCCTAGCTACTCAGGAGGCAGAGATCAGGAGGATCACAATTTGAGGCCAGCCCAGGCAAATAATTTGTGAAACCCTATCTCAAAAATACCAGCATTGGGGCTGGAGGTATGGCTCAAGCAGTAGAACACCTGCCTAACAAGTGTGAAGTGGCTGGCATCGTGGCTTAAGTAGGAGAGAGCCAACAGAGCAAGCATGAGGCCCGTAGTTCAAACCCCCAGTACCACCAAAAAAAACATATATAATATATATATATATATATATATATATATATATATATATATATATATTTATCATTGATTAATGGTTTTGTAATTTACTCTTATCTGGTTTGGGTTCACTTTTTCAACTATTCTTACTTAAAATGTTCAGAAAACACCTGTGTATTATAAATCCAAAAATAATAATGTTTGATTTGATTCAAAGGTATAATTTCACAATACTTACAGTACTTGTTCCTCACCAAGATTATGGAATAGAAATACCAGAGCTTTGAAGGCCAGTCTTAAGGAAATTTGATTGAGGTACCACAATTAATACCACCACTTAACACTTTTCTTGTTTTGTTTTGTTTTGGGGGGGCAGTATTGGGGTTTGAACTGAGGACCTTGTGTTTGCTCCATAAGTGCTCTGTCTCTTGAGCCATACCTCCAGCCCTTAACACTTTTTATGGTCACCTCAAGGGATTGATACAAGGCACACATGCACATACACACACACGAATATCAAAATCTGCAAATTCTCAAGTCTCATACGTACATCCTCCCATGTATTTTAAATCACATCTCAATTACTTATTAATACCTAATACAATGTAGATGTTAATTAGTTGTCATCCTATATTGTTTTAGGAACTACTAATGAGGGAAAAAGTGTGCAAGTTGAGTAAAGGCATAATTTTTAAACTATTTTGTCTGGTTGGTTGGATCTCTGGATCTGGATCCTGTGGTTACTTGATTTATCACATGTCTCTTCCTAAATTTATCCTTCAGTCCATCTTACATTTTGATGCATCTTCAAAATACTTAGAATACTCATACCATAAATCAGAGTACATGCCCAGTGTGCATGTGCATTGATGTGTTGTGTACATTTAAATGTTACATACATTTTTAAACATAGAAAATGAAAAAGGAAATGAGAAGTAAACAATTGTGTTTTTTGTTTTGTTTTGTTTTGTTTTAATATACCACCCTTTGGAGATTTTGAACCAAAAGGATTTTTTTGTTGTTGTTCTTGGTGTTTTTTCTTACTGAACTTATTACTTTGACAATATAGTTAAAAGTTATAGTCTGCAGATAAAGGTGTGATCCAAACATTTTGACAGCTGTGCTGAGGTTGGAACCTAACTGCAGAACATGCACGAATATGAAGCCACATTGTCTAGTTCTTAAAGAGATTATGCACTTTCATGCCTGCTTCCACTTCCAAAATCATTAGCACAAAAGGAAGGAAGGAGACACTATTACCAGTAGTGTTCTGCCATAGCACAGCACAAAGGAGACCAAATTTACTGACAGGCCACAACCAAGAAAAACCTGGAAGGTTGAATTTCCTCTTCAAACTGGGTTTATTTCCCAGATAGCGTAAGGCAATGAAAGTTTCCCTTAGTGTAGTAAACTGTTGTGATATAAGCATTCTTTTTTGTTTTGACCTGATGTTCTTTTGCCTTTCAGATCTAAATTGAAATCAGCATTTTACATTCCACTTTTTCTGAAGATTGTCCTACAGTTTGGATTCCGGACATAACCCTCAAAGAAGAATCAGTTCTCATTAGCATGATTGTAATTCTTAAGGCAGACTGACTTGTTATTAAGGTTGTTTCTTTAAAAACTGATAGTGCTGAATATCTCAAGTAAAATGTTGAGCCCACTTTGTTCTTTTGATGTAAAGGAGCTTATGGATAGAAGACCACACTTAATTTTTTAAAAAGAAAAAAGGCGCATTACTGCCTTTCTACTTTGACCACTTCAGTAAATAATGGATGTCTCAAATAAAACATTTGCCTCATACTCATTGTGGATTATGATTAAAGCCTGCTTTTAACTGGCCTGTTGATTATAGAGTCTTTCTGTATATTTCAGTTACTTAGATACTCGCCTAGAGATTTCGATATAATTTGAAGGAGGCAGAAATCTGTATTTGAAGTCCAACACAGTAGGTCTGTTTTTCATATTAAGTAGCATGTGGCAGTTTTATAATAATTTTGATGATGTCATTCTTTCCATGATCTTGTTTTGCCATCATAGACATGTTTGGGGAGAAAAAGACTTTTCCAAAATTCAGTTTTCAAAATGTGGGTTTTAATATCAATTTTAAATTTGTAGAATTAGTAGTTGTAGATATTGAACACTAGGTGGCACTCAGTTAGCCTGTCAGAAGTAATTGCTGAGGTTTTTTTTCCCCTCCAATGGCATGCATAGGAAATTTCCCAAACAAGAAAAGATTATTTCGATCATGTGTGTGTAGATTGTTTTTACAGAACAAAAAGATTATGTTTAAAGTGTTAGTTTGTTTTCAGAAATCATGTACATGTAAGCTACAATTTTGAGTGCTTTATAAACACTTAAAATGTATATATAAATGAAGATTTAAATTCATAATAACTTGTAAAAATTAAGCCTTTTTCAGTCTATACCTAAGCTGGGGACAGAGGAGGGAATAATAGACTTAATGAAAAGACGATCTCCTAGTTCCAAATGTAAAACCTATAGCTGAGCAATACAATAAAGTGTCATGCTGCAGAGTATATTATACCAGACCTCATATTAAGGATGTATTTTATTATGTGGACAGCTTTTTTGGAGTGGAGTGTTTTTGCTTATATTGAGAGTTTAGATTTACCCTTCCTTATTTAGTTTTTAGTTATTAACTCCTACTAAATGAAATTAGGATTGGGCTAGTCAGATGTCACTGGCCACATTGAAATCATGCAGTTTTAAAATGAAATCAATCATATAGCTATGGAACTTGTATTCTGTTGTTCTCTAGAGAACATGGCTCCAAAAAACAAAGTAGATCTTTAATCTCATTCTTAACTGAGTTCCTTTTCTAACTGTAAATTCTGAATTCAAAATCTGAGGTACTATAAAGCAATCTTAAAATAGAGTATAACATTGTGGTTCGGATTTCTTTATGGAGTTTGTACCTTCAGGTGGAAGGCATCTGAGATCAAGGACTGAGTTTTAATACCAAAAGAAGCCAGCCTTGAAGAGTTCATCTAGCCCTTGTCTTCATGAGGAATCTAAATCTAAGTTAGGCTTCTATACCTAAAAGTGTTGCTAAATTTGCACTGTGTAGAGATCCTTCCACGTTATTTTACTATGAATATTTGCACTCTGCATATGTGATACAAATCTGGTTAGGATAGTGCTACTCACAAATTAGGTTTTTTTTTCAAGTTATGCTCCTCAAACAAATGTGGTTTGTTTAAAGAGTTTCTAAAAATTACAACTGTGACCCCAATTCTTTCATGTCTGGGTAGTGACAGTCTAATCTAGCGCTAGTGTTTCCTGGAAAATCTGGAATCGTGATTAAAATAGTTCAGGTAAGGTTGTAGCACATAACACAATGTTACATGGAAGAATTCTTTGATTAACTTGTATTTGATGTGAAAATTGTAGTTTCATTAATTTGGTTATATTTCAAATAAGTGGTCTTCAAGGGAAAAAATTTTTTTGGTTATTCTCTTTGATTTCCATAATATATTGCTATAGACAATGCCCAGAAAGAAAATGTTTGGAATCTAACAGTAATGCTTCTTCCTGCTAAGATGGTGTTATAGTTATTACTAATATATTTGACAGGATCACAAAAAGCCCTAGGTTCAATCCCCAGCACCACATAAACAGAACAAACTTGATAGGATTGCATTTTTCATGCTTTTTATTCCAGTTAGAGTATAAACATTTGTGTTACTAAAGTGGGTAAATAACCAAACCAAGCATTCATTTTAAAAGATTTGCTGGACTGGAAGAGTGGCTCAAGTGGTATAGAGCCTGCCTAGCAAGTGTGAGGCCCTGAGTTTAAACCTCAGTGCCCCCGGAAAAAAAAAAAAATACTCGCCAGGGGCTGGTGGAGTGGCTCAAGTGGTAGAGCGCCTGCCTAGCAAGCATCAGACCCTGAGTTAAAACCCCAGTACCACAAAAAAAGTTGCCAATATTTAGCTTGTTGAATCTTTTTTCAAAACGCCCAGCTTTTAAAGAGACCATTTTAGGAGCTTGGAAATGCCTGATGGACATTTTTATATACATTGAACACTACTCATTGATTTGCTGATCACATCTATGGAATTGTGGCTATAAGTAGTTGCTGATGTGTAATTTAACTTAATTTTGTATAATACATAAACATTAAATTACCGTGCTAATACCTTTAATAGGTATAAACTCCTGTCGATTTTGACTGCGGGGTAACCAAGTAATCAAATAGATAAAAGCATGTTTTGAACAAAATACCTAGCTAGATTTCTACTCCATTTGTATTGTATACAGATTTAATGACTTCCAGTATTGACAGTTAAAGTAATGGGTGAGATTGAGGTTATGTTACCTGTCATAAAGATTAAAAGAATTTGTGTTGGTATGAGATGTTTAAATTTATCCTGCTTATAAGAGTAAGTTTCACTTAGACTGTTAGGATTCCCCTGAATTTTTGTGTACTACTTTTGTGGTTTGGGTTTACCTTAAGCCATCCTTCTTTCTGCCTTTGCTTTTTTCTTCCTATTCAGAAAAGAGCAAAATCTGAATTTTGTCTTAGTACAGTGTGAAAAGACAGCAGACTGAACAATTCAAAGAGTGTATAGAACATACACCACCACCCTCCTCTATGGCCAGGTTAGGAGTCAGTGTGCTAGGAAGGGGAGAGCAGGGACACTGTCCTCTACCAGGTAGCCACCCATACCTCCAGCTGTGTCAGCTTCATGCCCCTCACCTGAAAGGTGGGTATGACAACAGTACCTCTACCCAGAATTGTTGGGAGGATTAGTAATGTAGGTGTTTGTATATGTAACACATTTAGAACAGTGTCTGCCTCTTACTTTGTCCAGGACTGTGAGAAGATGCATGTCTTCTATATTCACTATTTGCCCTTTTGCTTACAGTCGTTTAAGTCCTATGATAGAACATTTATATATATATGTATATGTGTGTGTGTGTATATATACACATATATATATTTGTATTCATATATGGACACTAAAATAATTGCTACCAACCTTATTTAATTAAGCGTAAGGCTCACAGATGGAAGTCTCAAAGTTGCTTGAAGATATTTTATAGAATACCAACTGCTCTATATTTCTTTAGAGAAAGTTTATAGTTGCTAATACTGATGGGTATGGTAATATTTCATCTTAAGTCTTTAATGAATTCTTTTACTCTAGATTCATGACAACTAATTTGTACTGACTAGTTTGACGGTTTCCTTTCCCTTTGTGTGGAATAATGTAAAGAAATCAGATGCAAACTACTGCAATTAGAAAATAAAACGAGAACTGTGAACAATGTATACAAGTGATTCTTTCAAAGAACATTTTTAACCTATTTAAACTTTTGTTCATGGTGATTCTTTTTTGAAACTTTGACTTTTGGAACTTAATTGTGACATAGGAAAAGTGTAAAGCTGTTAACATTTCTTATTTTGCCAGATTTTGGTGGTTGATCCTGAGTGGGCTCACATTGGACCCACCAGTTGGACTGGGTTTGAACTCACAGAGGCTTAACATTTTCAAACAGGTACTCTACCACTTAAAGCCACACCTCCAGTCCATTTTACGCTGGTTATTTTGGAGATCAAAATCTCACAAACTATTTGCCTTGACTGGCATCCAACCTCCATCCTCCTAATCTCAGCCTCCCAAGTAGTTAGGATTGCAGGTGTGAGCCACTTATGCTTGCCTGAAGAAGATATTTTCTAATAATCAGTTTTTTAAGAATGATCTCAAATTGCCAAGTCATATTTAACAGACCTTTTATATTATACAAAGACCTAATTATGCCATCGCTGATGGCTCGCACCTGTAATCCTAGCTACTTGAGAGTCATTGATAAGAGGATTAAGGTTGAAAGCCAGCCCTGGCAAACAGATCACAAGACCCTATCTTGAAAATAACACAAAAAAGCGCTTGCAGCTGTGGAGTGCCTACCCTGGTATTGCCCTCCCCCCCCCCCGCAAAAAAAAAGAAAATACCAACACAAAAAAGGGCTGGTGGAGCGGCTCAAGTGGTAGAGCATCTGCCTAGCAAGCGTGAAGCCCTGAGTTCAAACTGCCAAAAAAAAATGTTCATTTAACAGGTTCATATGTGAAGTAAATGTACTCTGGCCAACTTGCTCACTTAATTTTTTGTTCTGGAGTTTGAACTCAGCTTCCTTGCTTGATTTGTAGAGGCTCTACTACTTGAATCACATCCCCAACCCAACTTGCTTACTTTTAAAAGGCCAGTCTTTACTCTTCCAATACCCAGCCTGGAAATTTTCTGAATTTGATAGAGGGAAGAACTAAACTCACCAGGTACCGGTGGCTCAATGCCTATAATCCTAGCTACTCAGGAGGCAGAAATCAGGAGAATCACAGTTCAAAGCCAGCCTGGGCAAATAGTTCGAGAGACCCTATCTTGAAAAACTCCTTCACAAAAAAGGGATGGTGGAGTGGCTCAAGGTGTAGGCCCTGAGTGCAATCCCTAGTGCTGCAAAAAAAAAAATTTTCCCTACACAGATGTTTTAGCGATAAGCAGGCAAGCAGTTACGCAGTGGGGACCTGCTGAGAGTCAGCAATTCCCCAGGCTGCACCCCATCTCCTAGAGATGTGATCTGAAGCTTCAAGTTGTTTACCTGCTTTCTATCCTAAAGTCAGCGTCCCCACAACCCCTGGGTCGGATATATTTTGCGACAGCAGCTCCCAGAACTCAGGGAAACATGTTAGTGGTTTATTTAAAAGGCTGTTACAGAAAGGACAGGTTCTGTCGCTTCTCCAGGAACCCCCTTTCTTTGGGTATACAATGAACGCCTCTGAGCCCTGTACTTTTGCGGATCGTTTTGGGACTTCATTACATAGGCACAATGATCGAAGTCATTTGGCCTTTGGTGGTCGTTTAACCATGACCCTCTCCTCTTCTCTCTCTTCTCTCCCTAGTCCTCTTTTGCGTGTTTCTAGTAAAACTAGTACTTATCCTGAAGTATCTAGGAGATACCAACCATCAGTCAAGATCAGCTAACAAAAACACGTATCTTTGGAAGATTGTCAAGGATTTTAGGATTGGCATGCTAGAAACACGGAATGAAGGCCATTA